AGGATGATGCACCATAAGAAGAACCGTGAACCCCACAGTGATGAACTCGACGAGCGGCGAAGAAATTAGTGAATGAAGATTTGTGTTGATTGATTTGATATTTGATATTTGATAAGCGATTGATTGATTGATATTTGATAAGCGGGATGTTTTAATAAAGCTTTGTTATTTTAACAGTGAAGTATTATTTCTGTGTTCTGTCCTTCTAAAATTTTTAATCTATCAAGATATCGAAAATTCAAGGTAGAAAAGTTTGTCGTTCAAGAACAGACTAGATTAAGCTATGGAAAAATATATGTTCAGATTTGAAATTCCTAGCACCATATCAAACCCTGTGGAAGTCTAGTAGCTACTTCAAACTATCGCCAGTCATGAAAAGATCCGGTCAAATGACACGATTTTAGATCTTCTGTGAACAATGCACGAAAATGAAAAGAATAGGCGACAGGCCACATCAGGCCTACACTTCAGCGCCGAGATCAATATGTTATGTTATGATAAACGCTGCTGTGTGCTCTCCTTAAACGCCTGGGAGAGTGTGACTATTTTGACTATGGTAGTAGCTTTGTTGAACGCGTCTCGTTTGTAGCTTTCAAACGAGTGCAAACACCTAGTAATTAACGAGAGTAATGATCTATATAATTATTATAGATATATAACTATATATAATTATATATTTGGATTACAGCAGTCACATGAATTCAAATTTCAAAGCCCAGCAATCATCAGTGCCTTCAGTGGCAATTCAGTGATGAGACTATAAACATACTGTAAAATGGGGTAACTTAGACCACTTTTTTTATAAATGATGCCATTTTTTTACTAGCTAAATTAAACTTGAATTGAAACATGCAAAATACAGGTCTATACTCTAGCTTCACTCACCATAAATTGCTGGCTCCTGCCTCTCATAGTTTTGATGTAATTTAAAAAAAAGTGATGGTCTTTGTTACCCCAGCTCTTGGGGTTTCTTTGACTGGGTGGTAAAATCAATTTTATTTTTTGGTAAAATAACTCCAAATAACTCCAGGTTGTGGTGCATTCCACTCCATTTAAATATTTTTTTTATCAGTGTATGAAGGCAGGAAAATGGTACCTACATTGCTTAGTACAAAATTTTGAACTTCAAAACTGGCAAAAAGTCTATGGTTCTGACCAAGGACTACTACACACATTGTAATACTATTGTATGAAACAATTATGGGCATATCATTTGTTGATGCCACTAAAACAACAGCATTTTCATAGTGTAGGCGATCGCCTCTGCTAGCAGAGGCTGGACATAGGCTATGCATGTCCTGTGTGTAGTAGTCCTTGTAAATATTATAAATACTTTCGCTCTAACTACGCATATTCTACAAGAGAAGCGTAATGACTTCGACCATTTGACGCTGGCCCGTATGCTAAATAGGGCACTAGCACTACGAAGTAGCACTATATATGCACTACGAAGTGTCCTGTTGGTATGCTAAATACGTCACAGACACTAAGCACTTCGAAGTAGCTCTACAATGTTTAGTGTCGCTTAGTGTCGCACTACTGATTTGTATGCAGAAAGACTTTGAAGCGCTACTTCGCTGTTTAGTGCCGCACTACGCTATGAGTCTATTGAAGAATGGTAGTTAAGTGCTCAAATAATTAATTATTCCCTAAGTAATTCTCATTCTTTGCAGAAGATTGATGTAAAATGTCTAATTGTGATGGTAATGATTCTAATGAAAATTGTGATGGTGAGCTGAAATTCGCAATGCGTCTGCGCACCTTTCCCATCATATATTCTAAGTCCTCGCTTACCAAAGACATCGAACAAAAGAGAGAAGCATGGAAAGTTCTTGCAGAAGAATTCAAAATGACTCCAGAAAAAAAAAAACAAGAAAATTCAAAACATGGTTTCAAAAACAAAAAAGTATTTTTTACTTCTACGCTGTTCATCTGTTTCGCCAAGGAAAATGTCAGCTATAAGTATAACATGTTGTTCACTGAAGCGGTACACTTTTTTATATTCAAGGCATGTAGTTCCTGAGGTTGTTACGCGATGATGCCTTTGCCTGTCTCTTATACACANTAGGTGCCAGGATGACAATATCTACAGCATTTAGATGGTTGATGTTGGCTCCAGGGCTGATTTGAGCGTTAATTTGCTGGTCTACGGCTGCGCACCCCATATATGCCATGGAAAGCGGTCTGATGTCCGGTCCGCGGATCCGAGACGCAGACGTTTGTTATCTCCGGCACTCCGAATCGGAAAGTCCAGAGAGACAGCTGCGTTCATGGTTCATCGAGTAAACATCTCAAATGTCTATCGCCCTTGCTTTCGTAAAGTTTACCGGTAAATAATCGCCTATAAATAACATATTACTTGATCTTGGAGACTTGGACTAATATATATATACCACGTGTATATTTAGTGAAGGGGTCCTTCCAAAGTTCCAAGTTCCAGCGTCATGAACCGGGCTGGCTTTCTCTCCCCTCCCTCTCGCTCTCCTGTTCTCTTTACTTTATGAGAAGAGGCAGTAGCCAGTAGGTAGGAGGAGTAGCCGACTCTAAGCCGAGTAGGGTTGTGAGCCGGCCAAGGTTAGGCAGTTAAAATTCTTGCAAGACAGTTTCTTTGTTCCTATAGTTTTTTATCTCATTGTCTGTAACTTTGTTGCCAGTCTGGCAGTCATTGAAAGAACTGCAAGAAATGAAACGCATTAGTGCCAGTGGAGCGGAAAGCTCGAGTCCGGAGTCCCTCCCTGATAGCTGATAGGCTCAGTACCTAGGCTGAAGTCCCAGCTAAAATATGGTCATTTGCCAAAGCCAAAAGTTTAAGACTCCCCTCTTACCCTCTGCCTCTAGGCTCTAAATTTGGGGTTTTTGCAAATTGCAATTATGCAATACAAACAGATAATGAGGCAAAATATTCAAACTGTTTGTTAATGATGAGACATTATAAAGAAATAACAATCAATTTATGATACATTTGAGATACCGTAAAATGGGGTAACTTAGACCACTTTTATTTTTATAAATGATGCCATTTTTTTACTAGCTAAATTAAACTTGAATTGAAACATGCAAAATACAGGTCTATACTCTAGCTTCACTCTGTCTCTTATACACATCTAGATGTGTATAAGAGACAGAAGCAGGCTAACACCAACTCCAGGCGCCTCAACAAAGCCCGGAAGTTGAGTATTCTATTAACGATAAACGTAGTAGAATAATAATAATAAATGTATGACGTCAATAAATACATGTATTCCACAGGTTACAAACTGCAGCAGATCCTAGGTATATAAAAAACTGCAGTAACGCACTGATCATGCGTGAATTTTTATATTCTTTAATGCAGCAAGTCTCTATATAGTNTATAACAACATAACATAACACATCATAACATAGCACAGTATAACAACATAATACATTATAACATTGCACAGTATAACAACGTAACATTACACATCATAACATAGCACAGTATAACAACATAATACCTAAAACTTTAGAGCAAATTTAAACCATTTATGAACCATATAAGTATAACATGTATTTAGAAACCAAAAAACATTATTTTTCAGTTTTGTAAAGTGATATAAAGGAAACAGATTAATAATACTGAATTTTTAAATACAATTATTGATAAACTACTACATAGCGTCCTGTGGAAATTTTATTTTGGATTTTTATTTTTTTTATGCACTTTAAAACTTGGTACACATATGTAAAACAGAAAAGTAGACAATTTTTATTCCTGTCAATTTAAAAAAAAATATAACTCAGTGGTCACTGCAGTGAGACAGAGAGTGCATTTTCTCATCGACGAAAACGTGAGGTCATGGACAGACAGACGGACGGACATGGCGAGCACAATAGTGCATTTTTTCCATAAATGATAAAATGCGCTAAAAATGAAGAAAATGTGAAATTCTTTTGAAAAATGGCCAAAAAAGGGGGGTACTGGTACTGTAGAAATCTATCTCCTCCTACAATTTTCAAGCTACAACATTGAGACACATATCATTCAATGCAAAAAAAAAAAACATTTCTATTGATTGGTCATAGCTTTTTTTTGAAATTTGAATTTTTGTTGGCGGGGGGCATTTTTCATAAATTTTCCAATTTCCCCTCCTGGTCCTCCCTTTTTTCAAAATATTTTCAAACTAAAACAAAATTGAAAAAAGCTATGACCAGCCTCTAGATCTTTTATTTGCAAATCAAATGGTATATCTCTCAATTCTGTAGCTTCAAAATTGTAGGAGGAGATAGTTTCCCACTGGTGACAATAAGTGCGATGTTCAGAAGAAAGCGACAAATCACCAAGCGCCTGCAGCGCGCTATATATAGGCATTTAGAGTAGTAAGGATACCAGGCAAGGAGTTACTTGAGCTTGAATTCACTCACAGCTGCAGAAAACAACTGCATGAACACCTTCCCACATGACAGCTAGTTGGTGACTGAAGTGCAGCATCTACACTCTACAGACCTTAATCTTATGTGCCCTGGCTGCTAATTTCCCCTGTAAGAAAATGTTAAAGAGCTCCATGACACCTAACCCTTTTGTGATGTCGTGAATGCATAAATCAACGTATAGAGATGGTTTTGGTACCGTTGAATAGGTCAGAATGTCAGCTATGAGATGACCATAAAAAACTGGAAAAGCATAAATCTTCTATTTTTGGCCATACGCTCCCTTAAATACTTCTTCCTCAATATTAGGATAAATGATCTGGAATAAGAGGGTACAAATAATTATGAACAGTTAGTTACTCATGAAATTCAAAATAATTATTATTGAAAGTTATTTTCATCATATTTTCTAGTAATAAATTAGTTGTACATTATAATGACAACCCTTCCTAGAAGGATAAGTTGTAAATGATCTCTATTGTTCTTTAAAATTGGAATTTTGATATATTTCTGAAAGGGTATGAATAATTTTGGGCACAATTGTATATCTGGATATGTTTAATGAAGTTTTTAAACATTCTTTTCATGTTTGACATGTCTACCAATTTGCAGATATAGATTACAAATAATGTTATGTGAATCAATTAAAAGAATTTATATAATAATCTGATATATACCGGTAATTGGTTGCTAAGACATGACAATGGCTCTGCGTATTTCTATATTTCCTTTCAACAGGCACCAGGTAATTATATTATAAGCAATAATTAAGAGAATAAGTTGTTCATTCCTTGAGTTTTTTTAATATTTAATGTGATTTGTTATATTTTTGGCATCTCAAGAGGCTTTACAATTGCACTTTTATTTGAACCCCCTGGTAGGTCATGGAAATTCTATGTTGAAGCTGATTAACTAGTCTAAAGTGTTAAAATATTATCATAATGCCTAAATTTAGCATTATTTGCCATGTCTATTTCATTGGTGAATTATACACAGGCTTATACTACCAATAAAGTCTTAATTTTTACTATCAAATAGGGATGGGCGGGGTGAATCAGGACAGTCCTCCAACATTTTGTAGAAATGTTGTAGCATCTAAACTCATTAAAATATTGCAAAACTAAAAATAGAGGTGTAAAGTTTCACATTTTTCCTATCTATATAGCATAAAGCAAGTTGAGAAATCACATTTTACTAATCCCTGAAAAAAAATGTGAAAAGTGAGATTTTGGAAGAGAGCCTCTGCTAAGGCCTGAATTAACCTAAAGTCCTAAACTATAATTTATTTCTCCAAAAATATGAAAGTTGTCACTGAAATATTCCTTTCTGTTTCAGGTATGTTTTTTTAAGATTTTTTTTTTTTTTTTTTGCTATAGTGAATTCACTTGATCCAATTAATATGGTGCAAAATCACAAGCCATCCTGTAAGCTTACAGATACAGAAGAAATGCTATATAGCTGCTGATTTCAAGTGTCCCTAATTACCCCATTTGCAGAGGTAATTTGGGATGCTTTTATTTTGCGTCTGGCACCTTACGAATAGCATATGGAATTTTTCAGAGATGCTATGCAATAGCCCTCGCAAAGGCCTTTAAAATGAGCCCAAACTTGTTAATGAAGTGTTTCATGGTAAGAAGTTATTAACAAAAAATGCTCAAAAGCGTCCCTTATTACCCTGTTCAACAGTATATCTATCCAGTACCATTCATTTATTAAGGGTCTACCCTCAAAATTATCTCCCAAAATATATCACCTATTGTTTGTTCTGAAACTATATCACCATAATAGAAACAAGTTGCTCCTATGAATTTTTTGAAAAGATTGAAAGTAAACAAAGAAAAAGGCAAAATGGGTTCTTCTATAAATCTATATCCTCCAATTTTCATGCTACAACAGGGAGAGACATATCATTCAATTTTTAAAGTGAATATCTATTGACTCTAGTAGCCCCTTTTCAATTTTTGTATACAATTTTTTCCATTTGTGCTCTATTTTTACACCCTCCCCTACTTATTCCAGTATATAATCCAAATTCTATATCACATACAAATAAAAAAAAATGGGCTTCTAGAGGCACTAGATATTATCCTTACAAATTGAATGATCTGTCTCTCAATGCTGTAGCTTAGTAGAAGTAATACATTTTTTAAATGGCATTTTTTAAGTTTCAATTGTTCAGGGGAGCCAAGTACATAAGTAAAAGTGATTGAAAATAGAAGAAAATGCTGGTAAAATTGCTTAATACATACTTTAGCCCCAGCTTTTCATTGTCAATTACTTGTATTGAGGGTATCATTACGCATACCATAAAAGGGGGTAACTTAGACTCCCGGGGTAACTTGGACCACTTTTAGTTTTTTAACAAAAACCCCCAAAACTCAAAAACTATTTGACATAGAAAAATGGTGTCAATGGGCATTAAAGGCTTAATACTGAGGCTACGTAAAACAATAGAAAGATAAAAAATTATGCATATCTTATAGGTTAAAAAATTAAAAATGTTACCCATGAAAAAGAGCTATTATTTAAAGCCTGTCATAGAACCCCCTCCAATTTGTTTATTTTTTGGTAAAATAACTCCAGGTTTTGATGCATTGTATTAAAATTCTTCTAGTTACTTATGCAAATGACAAATTTGAGGAAAGTGTCATAGTTTGCAAATGGGGGGTGCCGCCCCCAAATGGGGGAACTTGACCACCTAATGTCAGCCCTGAAGAGGTAACATAGACCGGCTTGGAAATTAATTTAAATTACCATATAAAACATATTCCTTGATTGATACACCTACTAATGTTTTTTCTTTATGTTTCAGACTCTACAGAGTCTTATATATGGTAATTTTAACTTAATTTCCAAGCCGGTCAATATTACCCCTTCATGGCTGACATTAGGTGGTCTAAGTTCCCCCATTTGGGGGTCAGCGTCCCCATTTGCAAACTATGACACTTTCCTCAAATTTGTCATTTGCATATGTAACTAGAAGAGTTCTACTACAATGCACCAAAACCTGGAGTTATTTGGAGTTGTTTTACCAAAAAAATATAATTGATTTTACCACCCAGTCTAAGATACCCCAAAGCTGGGGTAACAAGGACCATCACTTTTTTTGAAATTACATAAAAACTATGAGAGGCAGGAGCCAGCAATTTATGGTGAGTGAACCTAGAGTATAGTCCTGTATTTTGCATGTTTCTATTTAAGTTTAATTTAGCTAGTAAAAAAATGGCATCCTTAAAAATAAAGTAGTCTAAGTTACCCCATTTTAGGGTATTTAGTTAAACCTACCAGTTTGACGCAAATGATAAGCTAAAAATGTGATTTTTCTGATATATTCATAAATATAACATGGTCATTTTATATAAGTTCAAAACAACTTTACACAAAAATTAGTGCATGTACATTCAGTGTAATTTCTTCATTAAATGTGTCTTGCCTGAAGTTTATGTGCAACCACATTGCAATCAATGCAAATAGTGATCTATAAAAACCATTTTTCACATAAAAATTTGAAAATATAAGTTATAAAATGGTTTTCTTATTAATTTTCAAAATGGCCTTGTGCAAAAAGTATTGCATGTACATCCATGTTATTTGCTTTATTGAACCGATCTTGTTTGCAGTTTTTAAACAGGTGCTAACACATTGCATTTGACATGGATGATGATCTATAAATACAGATTTAATTAAAGAAAGCTTTATAACCAATGCTTGTAAAATGTCATTTTTCAAATTTCAAAACAGCCTCACAAAAGAACCATGACAGCTATTTTATTTCAGTTTGTTTCTGCCAATTTGTAATAGTAGTTCTTCCTGCAAAAGGAGATGAAAAACACAGAAACCATAATTTCTTCAATTTTGAGGGTAGACCTTCCCCTTGAAGTAATTCTGGGTAACTGCCACCAACATATCTCCTGTGTTTCATATACTATAGCTATCAATTACAGTATTTGGTGCTAGGAGAAAGAGATTGTATATACAACTACAAGAAAATTATTTATAATTCCTGCAAGGGTTGAAATGCTTTATTTTTTGTATGTAAGCCATTTATAAACTGAAAATTCTATTAATGTAAAGTTTTCTTTTTATGCTGTATCAAGAAATATCACAATACCCAGAACAAAGTCAAATATTCACAACTTGCCTTGCTCATCATGTTTTAATTGTAAAGAGCTTAGCTAGCTGGATCATATGCTTGTGTTAAGATCTAGAAAGATGAATGAAACCAGCAACAGTTTATGTGTTTCAACTTTCGTTTATCTATTTATTCAACAGATATGGCTGGCTAATTATTCTGCCTATGGGAGAAATTTGTCTACTTCTGCTAGCAAGGCAATGTAAGATTTTTAATGCTTAGGTGTTTGAACAGATCACTTAAAGTTACTATTAATACTTCTGTGTAACAGTTAGTTGTACCTGAGTTAAAACAATACAATTGCTACAATCTGGATTTATCTGAGCATTTTTTTACATTTTATATAATTTTCAGTGCACCAAACAAGGACCATATCTTCATGCCTTGAAAACTTTCCTGCCCCCTTCCTTGTAGCATTGGTTCATCTCATTGTCACGGATTCATGTTTTGCTTCACATTTGCCTTTTTTTATTGAATTAATAAATGTAATGTGTAGATTTGCAGCTATTCATATAGATTTTCTCCCAAGTTATTATTATTCAATATATATATATATATCTGTTTAAGCATTGGCACTTGTCATTGTCTATTTAGTACATCAGCCTTCCGTGACTAAATCTAATATACCACCTATTGTTCATAATGTTCATTAGGGTATCTACTTGCTTTAAATCTTCTATGTATTTCCTTAATGAGCATAAATCCCTGTAAAATTTTTCTATTACAGAAGCTCCATCAATGACTTCACATCTGATGAGTATCAGTTTCTGCACAAATCGTCTCTGCCATCAATGTACTACCAGAAGTCTCTCCTTCGACTCCCAATACCAGGTTATGAGTAGTTTGTCTGCTTCTGGTCCCTTCATGAGAGGGGGATCTGTAAATATGTTGAGCTATGTTTGCCAGATAAGCCTATCTGAAAAAATATTAATGCCAGCATTTGGGCTACTGAGATTCATCTTTTCACATGTCCAAGTATAACACCTCTAGGCTGGATAAGATCATATTCATAATGTATCATGCTTGAGTGAGGGCTCAAATGCCAAAAGATGGGAATGGCAATACCGTTCTTCACCCTAAAACTGTAGATAAAGTTAATGTGCTAATTGAAATTGAGTACAATGTTCCTACAGCAGAAAAACTTATTGTAGTATCTACATGCTACGGATTTAACTGTGGCAACCAAAGAAGCACCACCATCAACTGATTGAGTGACTCAAGGGCTGGCTGTGCTATATAAAAGCCTTAATGTCAGTTATTTCCAAAAATGCCTTATTTTGGGTGCAGATTTTGGGAGAACAGTGGTCTTGATATCAAAGTAGGCCTCTAAGACACTCCTGAAGCATTGGTTTAATTAAGAGCTGATTCAATGAGACCATCATGGATGTCACTTTTCAATATTTTATCATACCAAGTATGTGGAATGAACACTAAAATAATCATGAACACCCCTTCTTATTCCCTGGAGTCTGTTCTCCAAGCCCATGGATGGCCAACTGGTCTGGCACAAACATATGTAAGCTTGAACAAATGGAAACAAAAGTCCTTTCTGACAAGAAATTTTTACAACATATGGCAGCAATAGTGAAGGCTGAAAAAAAGAATGAACACATTGCAGTAATGAAATGATGGGAAAAAGTAGGGAGACTGTGACAGAAATACAATGATGACTCTAATATTTGATGTGAATCAACCATGAAAATGAATACAATCAATAAATTAGACAACTGGATGACCTCCAACCTACTTGGGCCTGGAGAAGTGTTTGAAGAAACCATGGTAAACCTTGGTAATTTCAAATTGGCTGACAATCAGATCATATAATTGGCAATGTTATTATTGGAATATATCTCTGTAGCAGTATGTACAACGAAACAATGCCAACTTATTATTACCTAATTCAAGACTATAAAAGGCTTCTCTAATGACGAAAACTCCAATATGACTTACGGTACCAGTAAATTGCAGTTGACTACCTGCAACACAAAACAATGAAAAGTTTTTTTTTATCAACTAATGTGTTTGTGGATGGATAATGCAGCTTACTGATATATGGATAGTGCAGAAGCTTACTGCATCAATGTGCTTTGTGGTTGGTTCAGGATTTTTCAGTCGTTCATAGTATAGGTGCTACATGCTTGTTATTGATTATGTTGCTGTATCTCCAATCTGACAAAATTATAGATACAACTCAAAAATTAACCATTACAACTACGGTACTCTGAAAATAACTTTGAAGGTTTGACAGAGTTTCATCCTTAGGTGAGCTTCAGCTTTCACAAGTCACTAAGCATTCAGAAATCAGATGACAAGGCTGCCAGCTTCCAGTTGACAGACATCACACTCAGGGCTATTCACACCTGTAATTACTGGTGTATAGCTCTTGATATAAAAAAGTCGTAACTGGGTACATACTGATGTCTGGCACCATGCACAAATGATTGGTGGTTTCATTCAGGCTGAAAATCCACTTTTCACCCAAGTTTCACTTTATCCACAATGCATTTGTGTTTCATTTGCTCTGGGTCCATTATTAAACACTCTTAGCTGTCATGTAAGCCATCCCAATTTTATGCTCATGTTACCTGTATTGTATTAACACCCCACGTGTTGTGTGCAGACCTGGAGAAGACCTGCTCGCGTTACCTACTCTCCCAGCAAGCGCTGCTCAGCAAAGATGAGTATCGTGTCACTGAAGCTGCCGTTGCAGACTTCAGGACAGTTACCGGCCCACCTCTGCAGGCAAAGCTCAAAGCCTGGGACAAGGTAGGCGTTTTCTCAAGTCTAACCTCTTATTTGATGGTGTTTCAAATTTTCATTGCAACAATGGCCTGTTTTTGCTGAACTCTTAGGAATGGAAAGTAATTCCTAAACTAGCGTCTCCTTTTTTTCTGTGCTTTGCTCAGTCATTTGTCAAGCACTGTTTTAGCATGAAGATAAACCTGCCAATAGCTACCATTGTATCAAAATTCCAGGTGATACATCTAATAATCTTCCTGAGAAGCTCATGATCATTTCCTAAGCTTTTTGGGAACGGATTGCAGATTGTGTTTTTTCTAAAGTTTGTGCAATTAAAATCACTTAAATCAGTGAAACTTATTTGCTTTGGTAACAGAAACTAGAGGAAATTTTTTGTGTGCAAAATTTATTGCTTTTACTGCTTGAGCTATCTGAGATGAAGTATAGACAACTTGAGCATCCTGATACCACAGTTTTCATTCAGTGTTACTATTGTATGGCTTTTTCCATTAACAATTTGATTAAGATGCTTTGGAACTTTTCATGTTTCAATTCAAAAACGACATCATGTCCCGCCGTGCAGAACAACAAGCACACAAACTACGTGTCGGAACCGTGGTTCGATATGTACCTCAAAGACAGAGCATCAGTTGTTCTCAATTACAACCCCTTCCTGGCCTTCAAGTTCCCCGAGCCCCCCATGAACGACCCTCTTCTCAGGGCTACTAATATGCTTGTCTCAAGCGCCAGGTAAGAATTCTCAAAAAGGAGTGGCAAAAGTATGAAAGATGTAAGGGAATGAAATGTCTTTAATTCTGGTGACCATGATTGTCATCATCTTGAAAGTTTCCTCGTGGTAACAGCTAACTAAATGAGTTCTTATTATCTAGTCATGTGAAGCTTAAAAATTTTAAGTTACCATTTTACTTATATGAAAATAACATTATCATAAAATGTTATCTCGTACGTAACTTTTAACAAAGCAATGTTCCATTTTTTTTAACCATTACCCAGCTCATTCGACTCGTCAGGTTTCTGCGCACGTTCCGTGCAGGGTTGCTGGAGCCTGAAGTGTACCACCTCGATCCTGCCAAGAGCAACACGCCCTTCTACAGACGTGCGGTCGGCCTGGCTCCTCAGATGCTCGCTTCCTTCGTCTCCTATGCCTTCAAGGTGGGTCACCTGACACTCCTACTGCAAGGCCGCCACTGCAGCTGGTGCTCACAGTTGAGACTCTTGCTACAGAGCCTCCACTTTTTGCCCCACTGGCCGTCGTGGGCTTGATACCGAGCTTTAAATACAATTATTTCATGCATCTTTTAACGCTACAAGGCAATCCGGACGTGATGAGTAGTTTTACATTAAAGTGCTGCATTACAGGCGTTCCCGCTGGACATGTCGCAGTACAGCCGCCTCCTCAACAGCACCCGAGTGCCGCAGGTCGGCCGCGACGTCCTCAGCAGCGACGACACAGCCCGCCACGTGCTCGTCATGCGCAACGGCAACTTCTACGTCTTTGATATCCTCGACGAAAACGGTAGTTTTAAGCGTGGAGTATCTCTACCTAATATTATCGTGCTCAATATTAGGCAGTAACCAGTAGGTACATATTTTAGCAACCAATATATATCTTAGCAAACAATAGATATCTTAGCAAACAATAGATATCTTAGCAAGCATTACATTCTTTAACATATCTTAAGTTGAATTCAAATGCTAAATAAGGTGATTATTTAACCATTAATTGAAACAAAACCAGTCATACGATATGTACATTCAAGCCATGACTAGAGCCTTTCCGCCACTTCTAGCCCCCCCTTCCCTCTCACCATGGACGGCGTGTGTGCGTGCAGGAGCCATCTACCCACCAGCCCACCTACATGCGTGCATGGCCCACATCGCTGCTGACACCACACCACGCCCCGCCCACCCACTCGGCTACCTCACCTCAGAGAACCGCGACACCTGGGCCAAGGTAAAGGATCTCATCTTTGTTTGTGCTTAGGTTTAAGCTGCTGCAGTGAGGGATATTTATAGGTAATGTATTAGTAGGCCTCTAGATTACACGCGGGAAAATATTTAGAAGTCTAAAATGTGAGAGTTTAACCGTGATCATTTCCTGACAAGCTTATTTGGTGTAATTATTATTTTTATACTATAGCAGTATTGATTGTTAGTATAATTATTGAGTAGATGTGTGGACGTGCTAATGCAGAGGACGTGCAGGTGCGGCAGGAGCTGGTGGCTGCAGGCAACGCTGAGTCTCTTGCAGCAGTTGACCACGCGGCGTTCAACCTCGTGCTGGACGGGCAGGTGGTGGGACAAGACCCTGAGCTCTGCTACAGGACCTTCCTGTACGGCGACGGCGGCAACAGGTGCGCCTGCAACCTTTCATGCACTGCGTCTGCCTGCACTGATCTGGATCAATGGATTAATGCTCTGGGTTTATACAGTGTTCTTGAGATTTCCGTTTATTTCAGCTTTTGATTTTGTTGGTTTTTTTTTGGAACCTTTTTTGAGTGTGAGTTACTTCTTCATTGTTATTTATAGTGATGAATGCCTTGCAGCTAAATTGGTGCATTTTTAAGTATGAAGTTCAAAACGGCTGAAATTAGTTCGATCACACGATCATTATCACGTTCCAAATGCATTATTAGAGGCCTGTCGGCCATAAATACTCGCATGTTATTTCCTACAATTTGCCAAGCTTTCAAGACTTGACACATTAACACATTGAAATTTAGTAAACTTCATCTCAGTAGCGAAATAGTTAACACATCCTACAATTGTTACTGGAAATGAATACGTAGTGCCAATAACGTAAAGTTGCAAGTGCATGTCGCCAGTCACTGCCACTGCTTCATCGTGTGCAGGTGGTTCGACAAGTCGTTCTCGCTGATCCTGAGCGCAGACGGCATCGCTGCGCTTAACTTCGAGCACTCTTGGGGCGACGGGGTGGCGGTGATGCGCTACTTCAACGAGGTGTCTGAGGACGTCGAGAAGCACTGCTTCGTGGGGCCAGACTCGCCCCCCGCGCCCCTGGACCCGTCTAAGCACGTCAAAATCCTCGGTCAGTTCTTAGTAATTACGAAGTGTAGTGAGCAGCAAATACTCTCTTGTGGATGGGTATGTTTGATCGTAACTACTTTAGGCAGTTACGTTCAAAATTAGGTAATATATTGAATGCTTAACGTACTGTAATATAGCATCCAATAACAACTCATGGACTTATATATGAATTTTAGACAGAAACTGTAATTATCTGTGCTACTTTTTACTTTTAGGAATTTGGTGTAGCTACTGAAATCTTTATCATCGCTTGCAAAGCTATAATTGATCAAATTCAGTTCATTTTTTATTGATACCGTTTTGTTTTTATTTTATTTTTAATATAGAATGAAATTGAAGTACAATAAGTTGAAAAAAAATTATTCCTGGTCTTGAATTCCCGAAAAATCTATTGGAGGCAATTGCTGAAACCTACTGAGCTCGGCGCCTGAGTTTAGGGTAATGCTACGTGTTCAAAGGAACAGTATTGACGACTAGTAAAACTTTTGGATGCTATCTTCGATTAGGTACTATGCTACTGGCCTTGTTTAAAGTTTTACTATCTCTTTTCGTAGCTATTCACACCTAAATGCGTGGTCACTGCCACATTAAGTAGTAGCGGTTAATATTTGAGTGTGATAGTGTCGGCCACTATTGTCCCCATGTACAGCACCTTAACGCTGCGTGTGCGGCAGAGTGGCGTGTCCCAGACAGCGTGGCGGCGGCGGTGGAGGCGGCCCGTCGCTCGTACGAGGCGGCCACCAGCGCCCTGGCGGTACACGTGCTCGAGGCGCCCTGCGTCAGCAAGCGGCTCTGCAAACACCACCGCGTGTCCCCCGACGCCGTCGCGCAGCTCGGGCTCCAGGTCTAAAATATCCTCCATCTAGACACGTTCCCGGCTATAATTGTCAAGAATAATGTTACTGAATTTTCATATCTACCATTTTGCATAAAACATTTGCTGTGCAACGAAGAAACCTTTGTTCTAAATAACGTCTGCGTCAAAAATTAGGTCTTATCCAAATCTTAAAAACGTCTCACTAACTCACTTTGGTTTTAAATCCCTGAAAATTTGTAATTATTAATTGTTATTATATTAGAGAATTATACAAGTTACTCGTGCAGGTGGCGTACCGCATGCTGTACGGCGGCACGGCTGCTACCTACGAGTCGTGCAGCACGTCGGCCTTCAAGCACGGCAGGACCGAGACCGTGCGGCCGGCGACCCTGCAGACGAAGGCGTTCAGTGAAGCCGTGTGTGAGGGCGACACTCGAGACGTCGCGAAGCTCAAGGCCTTGGTGAACGAGTGCAGCAAAGTCCACAACCAGCTCACCAAGGAGGCCGCCATGGGTCCGTGTTGTTTTCTCTAGACTTCACTTTCACATATGCCCTACATATAATGGCTCGTATCTCTCTAGGTGTATGTTGGCACCTTAATTGAAGCCTATTATGCCTCACTATTTCTGGCCTATATTGTTTATTTTTATCCATGTATGAATATATACAGAGATTCGTTTCGTCTCTTTCCACTGCCATCGTAATTAATAAAATACCCCTGTACTGCATCACGTTGCCCCTGTACAGCATCACGTTGCCCCTGTACAGCATCACGTTGCCCCTGTACTGCATCACGTTGCCCCTGTACAGCATCACGTTGCCCCTGTACTGCATCACGTTCGCACCTCAACGCCATATCGTCCACACAAAACTTCACTTTAATTTATACTTTCCCCCTCACGTGCGCTCATTTGTATCACATCGTGCACGCAGGGCAAGGCTTCGACCGTCACCTGTTCGGCCTGCGGAACCTGGCGCTGCAGGCGGGGGGCGAACTGCCCGCCCTGTACCGCGACCCCGCCTACGCTAAGATCAACCACAACGTCATCTCCACCTCGACGCTGCCCTCCAACAACATCTCCTTCGGGGGCTTTGCTCCTGTCGTCAAGGACGGCTTTGGCGTCGGGTTAGTGTGTGCACTTGGAAATGTTGTAGTGACTAATTTACTAGCATTCACAAAAATTCCATTTCTTATTTACATTTGAAAATTAAGTTTGAATTCTTGCATTAAATGAATCTCAAATAGAATTAGTCCAGGTTTAAATTGTAGAGAACTTGGTTCGTTAAGTTGTTCCAAATATCATCACCCAAACATTTGCGTGAAATACTATTCTTGGTCCCGTCCACTAGATTCTTCGAGATTTTTTGTTAATATTCTAAAAATGAATTCGTTCAGGTAGAAACCTGAAGATCCTGCTGCGATATCAAAGTCATAAGCTCGCTGCTTGGTCTCGCGTGCTCCAATCAATTTTTAGTTATTTCAACATTAAATATTGTATTTCAATTCAAACATCAGATAGCGTTTCTTACATCGGTTAATCCCTAGAATTCTGCATGTTATTGTGTTTGGGTTTTTTGACATTATCCGGCTATCGATAACTTACTTTTTTGCTCGTTCACCAGCAGTTTTATCTGCTACTGTACCTAAAGAAGAGCTGACCTTGATGTCATTATGAACTTGTTTGTTGCGTTGCAGCTACCAAATGCAGGAGGAGATGGTGGGCGTGGTGATGTCGTCGTACCCACCGCACAGGGACGGCGCCGCCTTCATCGACTGCCTCGGCAAAGCCTACGGCATCATCGGCGACGTGCTTACTGCCGCGTGATGGCGGCCGTCCTAGCAGCAGTTGTGTAGTCAAGTATAATAGGTGCTATTGTGTGGTCATGTATAATAAAATAGGTGCTGTTGTGTGGTCATGTATAGCCGGCGTTGTGTGCCTTCCATTGTGCCACCTAGGATGTTGACGCCAGTCATTTGTAAATTATTAGCTTTAGGTTTTGTGGACCAGACCTCTAATTTGTGCATGTGTTTGCTAAACATTTCATTTGCGTCCAAATCCTTACGCTTTGAGCCAACAAGACTAACTGTAACTAATTATCGGAAAAATTCCTGTATCATTTACTAACATTTTGTCATGAAATATTTGCAAAATTCAATGCAAAATACTTTTAATTTAGCCAAATAAATGAATTGCCTGTATGTGGAGAATTTTTTATGAATATATATTTTGCTAGTAACTATGGTGTGTCAACTGTTCGTAGGATCATTGGCTCGTTGATGAATATTACAGCATCGATGTCTATATTATGGAAAATAGTTGATTCGCATCGAAATACTTTTATTTCGGTAGCTAGCGACATTTATTTTTCTACGAATATCAAATATTCTGGTATATTTTCCTTTCTAATTTGCGCTGCCTGTGGGATCTCCAATGCTGCACTGCCTGTCGAATTAACAGACGTTAACTTACGTTTTTCCTGTACAAGGAATGTCAACATTCGCCAAGAATTGTTTACTCCTTGGATGGTATGGTATAATGACTGAGTTAGTCATTTTCTTCCTAAAACGAAATTAAATTGAACATTGGCCGCGTTTCTAGTCTCCTGTATATTGCTTAATTATTTCCATACTGCCGTGAGTTCCGACCTTCGCGAGCTCAAATAACTCCTCGTTTATGTCCCGCGCAGTCGCCGCTGTCAATATTGCAATTGCACTTCAGCTTCAATGCTGCTTTAATATTTATTGCAATAAATAAGTTTAACGTTTAAAGATATTGGTAGGCTGCTGAGAACAGGTAAGTAACGTGTGGCAACACCGGAAAATAGTTATCGAATTTATCACTCAACAATCTAAAAGATATTAAAATTTAGCATGACTACGAGTGTGTTCTCGTACCACGGGCTAGGAAGTTGGGTTTACTTGTAATTTTATCAACAAGACTTATTTAATTTATATGATAACTTCAAGACACTTCTTTTTTCATAAGTATGCCGTATGTTTTGCCTACAGCCCTGGCATACACTAAATGAAGTACAAACCCAAACTCTGTTTGAGCATCGCCCCAGAGCGCTGTTATTTATTCTGAAACGTATTGATTTGATAACGGCTTGATCAATTTCCATGGATTTACTATTTATACGCAACTATTACGTATATTATTTACAATTGTCTACCGTCTATAGGTTTACCGGTAATTCAAGCTGCTGAGTGGTGAGCGAGTGCTCATTTGAGAAGAAGTAGGTAGAGATGTGATGAGGGAAGGTCCTCAAATATCCAAGTGTTCAGAGAATGGATGAGTCGCAGAGCCTCCAACTCAATGGGCAACACGCGGCAACAACAGCGCGCTTGTGTACATTATCATCTCAGGGGTTCAGCTCTGTCTCTGCATTGTGTAATAAGTTGGAAGTTCGTTGCACTCTTCTCAACTAAACCTGATTTGAATTTATTCATCGAGAACGAGGATATATTGCGGGAATGAAAAGTGCGTTTTTGCTTGAACTATGTGATCGTTATGCAGTGGAATAAATTGTTTGGGATAAACATATGACTTTTATTTTTTCCTGCGTTTGCTGATCAATGATGGTGTCGCTTGACCAACGAGCTGGCCTCGTGCTCAGCATTTTACTTTGAATCGCCCATCTCTGAAAGTCTTCTCAAATACTTTGAGGAATCCGAGCAAAAATAAAGCTCCAGGTGGACGTGTCACTCACACCGAGCCTGAGTGTTGACTTCGCCCATGAATTGTTAATAACAGCTGACGTCGTGTAACGTTACTTTCGTGATATGATAATATATAATTATCACACAATGAAGAATTCTATTGCAAATGTCATCATCGTGCAATCGGCAACGTTGAGTAATACTTTAGGAATTGCATCGCAAATGGAGGATAAGGCGCGCGTTGCGCTCCGTGGACTTAGCGTTTAGTAGTTTTGTTATGGGGTGTTGAAAATTTGTGTCGAAGCAATCTTTCCCTGCCGTATTCAATTATTAGCTATGAATTGGCGTTGGCTAGTTTTTCTTCACCAAGCCCCAATCTGTTTCAAATAAAATTTGATAAGCCATAATTATACGATTGTAATTAATGGCATAATATAACTCAGTGATCCACATGCACTCTATTTTCTCATACATTAATTTCCTAGAGGTTACAATGCTTCACGGTTTTTTACTACTTGCGGGTTTTTGAGCAAATTCCTATGGGCCTGCCGCGGACCGCAGTCAACTTTTGGGGTTCTCGTTTGTTCAATGTTGCTATTAGGCTTTCAAGGTCATGAAACATAAGTTCAGCGGCTAAAATCACGAAAATCGGATAAGATCGATAATAATTGTATTACTGTAATATGAATTGTTCATTTGTAACTCTCAGTAGACAGTCACGAAATATTTTTAGTCATCAGAGGTAGTCCCAAGGCCAACGAAATTCGTTTCAACATATCACACGAAGCCTAGCGCTGTCGTTGTCATACCAACGCCGTAAACAAAGCCTTGTCGCCACATCTGTGGCTCTGTGCCCCAGTTGCCGTCTGGTCCGACCTGACAACAGATCCGTCTCTTACACAACAGTTACCTTGCCCTAAACCGTATCAAAACTTGTATACATAATCAAGAAAAAGTTTAAGTTGCTGTGGATAAACTCTGGCTGGCATTTTAAAAATAGAAAATCCAACTATGAATTCAAAAGGCTTTTTCAGTTAAACGTTTATTGTGTTCGTAAACTAATCTCCTGACAATGGCGAAAATGAGCGCAATGTTCTATGAAGTTTAGCTTCCATTCCGTGACACAAACTGTCAATAATCGAACAATATCTGACATCAGCGGTGCTATTTCAAAAACCCTCAATTGAGTAGTTGCCGTTCATTTTGACCTGCCGTCCGCCGTCCGGGTTTCAGATTACCAACCGAAACTGATAAGTATTTTTTAGTTCAACAAAACGGTTTCATTCTACTTCTGAATGCACCAGCATGCCGTCTGCGCGGATAAAAGTTACTGATCAAATATGATCATGAATTTGCTGAAGAATCCTCTCAAGTCTCAACCCCTCTTTAATATATGGATCATATATACTTGAAATACTTGTGCGTATTTCGAACAATATAAAATCGATTGAATGCCTTAACGTTAACCCTCTACCGCCTGACACGAGTAACCGGAGCAATATTGTCACAACTCACAAGTCTACTTCCCAAAAAGGATACGTTGCTAGTGGGCGCAAAATGACTTGCACTGAGCACTGATGGTTGCCGCCACGTACGACAACTGTAAAATGTTGTCTGTTGCGTTCAAACGTCCTCAGGTTGCTAAACTCAATAGTTTGCGTATAATTTAGGTTGAAAGTTATGTTCTCAGAGAGTGACATATGGCGGTAGAGGGTAAATATGTTCTGGAGCTCGCATGAAAGCGAATTTAACTAGAAAAAAAAATAGAAGAAAATAAGTGTTTTTTATGAACCACATTTTCAATCATGTAAAATGGTATGAGAGCTTTTGTTCAGTTTCTCACGATCTGAACACCTGTTTGTCTCCAACAGGTTTGTGGTACGTCTCCGGGCGTTTCTGTGAACTGACGATTATTTAGAAGTTTTTTAAGGTTAAGAGTTAGCCTAGTTCATTTATTATCAACCTGATTGAAAGCTCAGTGTGCCACATTTAATTTTTATTATTATTATTTTTTCAGTAATAAACGAAATCAGCCACGGCAACATTTAAACGCTCATTTGTTTTGAAAATTACCAAAAGCATTGAGAATATTTATAAAATATGGATGAGAGCGACGTGTTCGAAACCGTGATTGTGGAAACGCCTAAGGTGCGTTCGGCGCAGGGCGGCGAAGAGTCGGCGCAGAACGGCTTATCCGCAGCCGGCAAACTTCGGCTACTGCTCACCTCTTCCCGGGCCAGAAACGTAATCTTTCTGGCACCCAGCGCTCTGCCTGAAGTTATAACTGTCAACTACAAGTATGAGTCCAGTACTCTCGACTCCATTTTAGGTGAGGGCATAAAAACATGTAAAGAATAATTTGAAAGAACGCACATAGCGGAAGAAGTTGTAAACCACTTGAGCACTGAACAGAGATCATCCAATAGAGCGAATTCAGTTCTCTGATACTTCTTGCCTGAGTGGTCGTGCGGAATAAACCTGAATAGGAAAACCTGTAATTCTTTGTTGTACTAACTTCCTAATCTTCCTACTTAATCCTAATTAACTGCTTTGCAACCTAATCAATTGGGGTAACCATCCTAATTAACCCCTCTGCAGGAGAGGTCCGCGAGAAGCTACAGGGCCACCGTGTGGAGAGCATAGCGATGGTCGTGACCAGCACAGAGAAGGAACTCAGCCTCTGCGGTGTTGGTGAGAAGGTCAGTTAGCAGCGGTTGTGATGCCGGGTCCTTGCGCTGTTGGTATGTCCACACATCAGCTGTCGTGCGTTTCAAGAATTTATTTTCAACATATTAGTTGAAAATAATAAGTAATCGTCCAAATATTTAACTAGAATTACGCGGCAGGAAGATAATTATTGAAACCATATGCATTGTGAAATAATAATCCATACCTGAGAACATTTCGCCTACCTTTTTTCCTAGGGTTTGCAATAAATCATTGGCTGATAATAAAATCGTGGTAATGAATGCATTAAACTTACATTTTATTGCAGTTTTGCTCAGCTAATAATGATTCTGAATAAATCGAGTTGGTTCGTAACGTAAGACCAAGGAATCGTTTGAAGTTTCATCACATTTTCTTGATTTAAATTCGTTGAGTCATTACGCATTCGTATTGAAAGTTATATGTGAATTCGTTTAATGAACTCCCCGTAAAATTTATAATATAATAAAGTACAGTACAGCATATTACAGTACAGTACGGTATAATATACTACATACAGTAAAGAATGCGTCAAATAAAGCGCAATTGCAACATGATCTTGACAGCTTAGTTAACTGGGCTGATACGTGGCAGCTGCGGTTTAATGCTGACAAGTGTAAAGTACTTCACCTCGGGAAGAACAATGAACAGCAAGATTACAGTATGAGAAGACATAATGTCGACAAGGAGCTGAAATTTTCTAAGCATGTTGAAACGCGAGCTAACACATCCAACAAACTTCTTGGACTAATCAGACGCTCATACAAGTTCCTAGATGCAGAAACGATGAAGCAGTTGTTTGTTGCCGTCGTACGCCCGAGTCTAGAGTTTGAAAACGTTGTGTGGTCACCGAGATTTGAAAAGGACAGAAATTTAATAGAGAATGTTCAAAGACGTGCAACAAGGATAATTCCAGGCTTGAAGGGCCAGACCTACGAAGAAAGATTGAAGATTATGAAGCTTCCAAGCCTCAGTTATCGACGTATGCGTGGGGACCTCATTGAAGTATACAAGTATACTCATGGTCTATACAAGGTCCCTGAAGGGTTACTAGAATTTGAAACAAGAACCAACACCAGGGGCCACGGCTATAAGCTAAAAAAATTGCGCTGCAACTTCTCCACGCGACAAAATTTCTTTTCGCTTCGAACCACCGACATGTGGAACAGCCTCCCCGATGACATCGTTGGCGCTCCAAGTATGAACGCGTTCAAGAACAGACTTGATAAAGCTATGGAAAAATATATGTTCAGATTTGAAATGCCTAGCTCCTTATCGAACCCGGTGGAAGTCTAGTAGCTACTTCAGACTATCGCCAGTCATGAAAAGATCCGGTCAAATGACACGAGTTTAGATCTATGAACAAGGCACGAAAAGGGAAAGAATCGGCGACAGGCTACATCAGGCCTACACTTCAGCGCCGACATCACTATGTTATGTTATACATATTTTCACGCATTTAAAAAAAATGTACTCGACCGCCATGGATAAAGTTGAATTTATCATTTGATTTATTTGCGATCACTCGGTTTTATGTGCTGCCAGTGGAGGTACAGCATACGAATACATCACGTACAATAGACTTGAGCATTCGTATAATTAAGAACGACTAAAATTATTTTCAAGTATCTGATTATCTAATTTAACTGTAACTTCCTGCAATTTATTTTATTCCATAAATTAACCATAACAACGTTATGGTCTAAAAGCAATTAACGCACTCATGCAGTTTACCATAGGCAATCGTAAAATTAAAGTAAAGTAATTGAGTAAAAGTAAAGTAATAGTAGTAATAATCGCAAATTAAAAAGATGAAGTGCAGTAAAATTCCTGAAAATAATCAGGTGTTGAACACACACACGGCCAGCACGGACGTGTCAGTGCGTGAGTTCTTCAAGTCGCTGTGCGAGCGTCACTTGGAGAAGTCGCGCGCCAACGCCCGCCTCGACTTCCTGGCGGCACACACCGCGCACACGCACGACGGTCCTGTCATCTGCGCCGCGCTCCACCATCTCCTCGAGGTAACACTTATCCTCTTCATAAAGGGTGCTAGTAAATATATGTTTTAAATGGTTGTTAGTAAAGCCATGGATACAAAGACTCCCTGGCGGCGCACACCGCGCACACGCACGATGGTCCTGTCATATGCGCCGCCCTCCACCATCTCCTCGAGGTATCAGTTAGCCTCTTCATAAAGGGTGCTAGTAAATATATGTTTATGATTATTGTTAGTAAAGCCATGTATACAAAGGCCCTTTAATAGAGACATGTCTAAAATGGTTATTTATAAATACTTTTTTATAATCGCTGTTATTAATTGAAGGCCTCTTTATAATGGCTGTTTGAATGGACATGCCTTCTGTATGAAGATTTTATGGATCATGAGTCATCGATATAGTTAAATTACCTTGAAACGTTTGTATAGTTGATTCAGTATTAATGTTTTTTTTTTTAATTTACTTTAACAGATTAGCCCGCCTCTGCCCGGGATGGTTAATTCCGGCCACGTTAATAATTTCATTATTCCAAATTCTATTGTCCCGAATCCCGACGTCTCGACCATGTCATTCGGAATCCCGTATCTCTGAATTTATTCAATAGTTTTAAACGTTTTTTACGTACGTATATCGAAAAATTCTAGTTCCACTTCACTTCATCGTTTAAATCAGCTTTTTTATTTCAATTCAAATTTAAGGAAGGGAGACTCCGTTATCGCTTTCTCCTTCATTGAAGTAATCGTTATTACCCTACTCAATTTTGTTGCTGATATTAAATTAGAATTTATTTTCATATCGATCATTCATTCCTTAAGTATTTAATTTAAATTTTATGTCAAACAGTTTGACATTTGAAATGTTCAGATTTGAAATCCCTAGCACCATATCGAACCCGGTGGAAGTCTAGTAGCTACTTCAAACTATCGTCAGTCATGAAAAGATCCGGCCAAATGACACGATTTTAGATCTTCTGTGAACAAGGCACGAAAAGGAAAAGAATCGGCGACAGGCCACATCAGGCCTACGCTTCAGCGCCGAGATCACTATGTTATGTTATTAGAGCCCCGCCCAACTTAAACATTCGATTCATAAATTTTATATACTTAAATTTTAATATACGCAGATCCCAGTGAGCATGAGTGTGGACTTGCAAGGCACAAATGTAGATGTGATCCGATGGAAAGGTGGAGGAACCTCGAAAATTCATCTCGGGGAACTCTACTTTGACCTCAAGAGGATGAAAAACTTCGCCAAGATGGCGGGCAACGCCGCCAAGACTCGCCAGAAAGACATGGATAATTACGAGATGATCAGGACCGTCGGTAAAGGTGAGATATATGCGAGCACTTGCCTGGTACCATACTTTCAAAACTCGCTAAGTAAACGTAAGTACTTACGCTCTATTTTCTTGTCTGTGATTAGTGGATTTGGCTTGAAAGGCCGTCAATGATTGGCTGATGAACTTACGATCTCTTAACTTTTTTTGAAAGTATGGGCCCAGCTGTGGACAATTCCACGTTTTAATCTAAGACATGCAAAAAGAAGCCATGTAAAGACATGTAAAGTATAGTAAGTGGAAATATATTTCCAAGTATGCTCTAAAAGTCCCCTTCTTAATCACAAGCAAATTTTATCGAACTGTGCAAAAGCTTTTGTGATACATACAATTGTTTTCTGGTTACTTCAACACGATTCCTGCATAGATAGGTTCATATCATAAAAATTGAATCTCAATAACGTCTCTTTTTTATTCGTCTACGTTTGCAACGATTGTGTTGGAGCTCATTAAGAGCCCGGACTCGACCAAAACCTTTAGTATGATACTTACCATGATGAATGCCTAAAAACTTTCAAGTATTGCTTCTAACTTCATTCACTTAGGTGCCTTCGGAACTGCGGTATTATATCGCCGCAAGGATGACGACACTCTGGTCATTATCAAAGAGATCAACATGTTGGATTTATCTGCTGCTGAGCGGCAGTTAAGCCTTAATGAAGTCAACGTTCTGGCCATGCTTGACCACCCCAACATCGTCAGGTTAGTTTATATCAGAGACGAAGTCAATGTCTTGACCATGCTTGACCGACTAAAATCGGATTTTATTCTGTTATTTGCTACCTTAGCATTCGCTGATAAACCATTATCTTAATTAAATTGACGCGAAAAAATAGACATTTGCCAAATACGGTCTGAATTCAGTAGCATCTTCATTCTGGAATGTTACCACTACACGAGGAGTGACTTTTGACTAATTCGGATTTTCATTATTTTTTAGCATGTCGGCATAAATTTTAAAACTATTTATCACCGTAAATGCTTGAAAACCCAAAGTTTGTAGAATACGTCGTGGTAAATTCTAAAAAAAAATATTGAAGCAGACTTTCGATTTGACCGTAGGTATCGATGTTTTTAATATTTTTTTCCAAATTTCGAACCACGCATGAACCAAACATAAGTGCATGTGTTCAAACATTCCCTATCATAGTTTACTTGCAAAATGTCATTTTCATACCTGCCACATGGATTGCAATTTCAAAAGAAATCAAAGTGTACAATTACATTAAAAATAAATGAAGTACTACCCGTAATGGAGATGCAATTTTATTGCTCAGGTACATGGACAGCTTCGAGCTGGACACGAAGCTGTGCATTGAGATGGAGTACTGCGACGGCGGGTCCCTAGCACAGTTCCTGACTCAGCGCTCGACGCGGCTCGAGGAGCGAGATATTCTCGTCATCTTCCATCAGATCTGCGCTGCCATCAGACATATGCATGAGCATCAGATCCTCCACAGGTATACAACACAGTAGAGTGTGTTAGCTGGGATTTGTTAATCGGATGTGGAATATCTAAAGCTTTAGTTATGTTCGTCTATCGATCCAGATGAACGATGAAGATTAATGTACAGTCCTCAAGTGATCAATCAAAATGAACGCTGGTGATTAAATTAACAGTCATCAGATGATCAATCCAAATGAATGGTGATGATTAAATTAACGGTCATCAGATTATCAGTACAAATGAACGGTGATGATTAAATTTACAGTCATCAAGTGATCAATCCAAATGAATGGTGATGATTAAATTAACGGTCATCAGATTATCAATACAAATGAACGGTGATGATTAAATTTACAGTCATCAAGTGATCAATCCAAATGAATGGTGATGATTAAATTAACAGTCATCAGATTATCAATACAAATGAACGGTGATGATTAAATTTACAGTCATCAAGTGATCAATCCAAATGAATGGTGATGATTAAATTAACAGTCATCAGATTATCAATACAAATGAACGCTGATGATTAAATTGATATCAGGTGATTGTTTCTTCGATTTATACGATGTAGACAAGGTGACTCGTCATTACGGTTCAGAGTACTAGGGTTGGAGCAGAGAGGTGCGGGTTCGAAACCGCAACAAGCTGTGAATGTTCTGCAATGTTCAGAATCGGCAACAGGCCTACGGCCTAATAAATGCTGTAACCGCTGTATTTATCTACATACGAATTGCAACCTTGATTACACGACAATTCCCAAAAAATATAACTCAGTGCTCACTGCAGTAAGTGACAGAGAGTGCATTTTATCGTCGACGAAAACATGAAGTCACGGACGGACGGACAGACGGACATGGCGAGCACAAAAGTGCATTTTTTTATAAATGAGAAAATGCGCTAAATAGTGTTACTTTTACTGCCTGATAGCTAAACCCACAAACAACAGTGTACGTAATTGAGAAAAAGCCTGTTGGTGCACTGAATTTAAAGTCTTTAATCTTATTGGGCAAAATACAGTATAAGTAAATTTATGGCTATCTAGAAATCGGTTTGAATATCCTACGACAATGAAACTAATTTTAAGTTTATCGTTATATTATTGCTAAATCATCATTATCTATTACAGAGACTTGAAGACGGCAAACCTTTTCTTGACGAAGCAAGGGATCATCCGCGTTGGCGACTTCGGGATCAGCAAGATGTTGAGCACGCGTCAGGCGCACGCCAACACCGTGCTGGGCACGCCCTACTACATCAGTCCTGAGATGGTGAGGCACGAGTTCTTAGTCGTCGCTGCTGTCATTGCATTCTTATGACGACAATTCATATCTTTCCGAGATGGAGCAGAGAAGTAACGATGTTGTGATGAGATGGAGATGGAGCAGAGAAGTAACGATGCTGAGATGAGATGGAGATGGAGCAGAGAAGTAACGATGCTGAGATGAGATGGAGATGGAGCAGAGAAGTAACGATGCTGAGATGGAGATGGAACAGAGAAGTAACGATCGCGTGTACGTGTATCAGTATCTTCATTTAGCACAGTGAGAGTTTCAACTCCTGCTAAATGGTAGATTTTTGTAACTGCTATCAGTGAAGTTTATTTTCATTGGGTAGCACGCAAAATTTTCAGTAGTTTGGCTTTATTATTTTTCCTGAGCTTTTGAAATCGGCGGGTAAGATGCTGGACCAAAGTTCCTACATCATTCATTAAGAGCTTAGGTTTTTTGCTGGCAAAATATCTTTCTTCTGTCACACGCATCGTCGTTGGGCTTCTAAAAATTTCTTGATATTGGGCGAACAAATATTTTGGGCGAAAATTGCATTGGGCGAACAAATATTTTGAAATAAACGACGATACTCTAGTAACCATGCATGAGCAAGGCCTCTCCATACCTAAAGTGGAACACAATCTTCCCATTATAACATTATTACGAAAGAAGTCAAAACTTTTAATACAGATGAGTTTCTCGCGCGCAGTGTGAAGGCAAACAGTACGACGAGAAGAGCGACATCTGGGCACTTGGGTGCATCCTCTACGAGATGGCCTGCCTACAGAAGACCTTCGAGGGCTCCAACCTGCCTGCGCTTGTCAATAAAATCATGCGGGTGAGTCTAAGTTCATTTTAGCTCATCCGCCTGAAATAAATAATTTATAATGCATTATATTATCCATAGCATTTATATATTTCTCTAATTGGTTGTAAAATTGAACCTTCGAATTCCAATTATTGTTTAAGAATTGCCAACACAAAAAAGAATTTTCCATCGATTTATTATTTTTTCAAACTTGAAAATGAACTTACATTCTTGCTTTTCACGACAAAAAATTATTCTGAAACAATTGTCTTCGAATCTCATCTACAAGTTTTCTTCTTGGGTGCCATTTCTTTAGTTTTTATTGTATAATCAAGCATGAACTTACACTCGTGCAAAAATGTATGCCAAAATAACTATCCTTAGACAGAACGACACAGATTATTCCTCTGTCTATCTGTCTGTAGATTATTTCAGACAGGACGCTGAACTGCCACCCGCAGTGACTTGAAGTAGCGCTAACGCCGTTACCAATATTGCTAAGCCTGATGTTCGACGCCTGATGTGTCCACACTATAATACAAAAATATAACTCAGTACTCACTGCAGTGAGTGACAGAGAGCGCATTTTCTCGTCGACGTAAACTTGAGGTCACGGACAGACGGACGGACAGACAGACAGACGGACGGACGGACGGACGGACATGGCGAGCACAATAGTGCATTTTTTTTCCATAAATGAGAAAATGCGCTAAAAATAATAGGAAAGCTTTTAACAAAAATTCTAGTGTACAGTTATTCAAATGGAACGACAGATATTAGGAGAGTTGATGATTAATTAATCATTTTATTAGGAATATTAATGGAATAGTTTCAGAAGAACAGATAATAATCAAGTTTTTTCTTTCCATCAAGTCTAATGTTCATTGCTCCTTTTGTGAGCCCTTTCTTTAAGCAAGAATGAGACGACCTTTTTCTCCTTCATCTAAGATCCCATTGATCGGTAATCTCTACATATTAGGGGAAATTGAAATCGCTCATAAAGTTACCATATTACCATGTTCAAATAATTACCTACTATTCGTCAGGGGCAATTCGCCCCCATCAAAGGCAACTACTCGCCAGGCTTCAAGCAACTCGTGCGAGATCTGCTCCAGCGAGACCCCGAGTTCCGGCCCACCGCGGCCGAGGCGAGTAAACTGTGTCTGTTATTCCAGCTGAGGTGCAGCTGGTCCCCAAACATTAAATAAGGGACATCTTTTGGTTGGTATATTGGCTGGCTCCCATTTGTCAGCTTGCCGCGGCTCAAGAGTTCAAACTTGATCATTTCCGACGTCAAGCCTGATATTCAGTAGACTCTAAATTTCATGATGACTGCAAATAGTCATCAATTTCATAATATTTTTCTTGTAACTTAACTTAACTCACATTTTTCAGTATGAATGTACATATTAACGCAGTGCTGATATTTTAGAAGTCAAGAATATATTCTATATACATGCTACAAAGAGAGGTATCAATTACGAAACTTGAATAAAGTGGTTGGTTTGACAATAAGGTTTAATGTTGAACTGTTTTTATTTCATTTACATTACGATTTGATTCGATGCAAATCTTTTTTATATGTCAATGCGTAGACATGGACCGAGATACAATTTGATCATTGATTATCAAATGCGGCATTTTTAATCGGATTTGCACTAATCATTTGCAATCCCTCATTGTATGATCTGTACAATTATTTTTGAATCACAAAACCGGCCATTTTTAATCAATTATTTTATTTAGACAATCAACCTCACAAATTATCTTGACACGTTCAAACCAACCAAACTCCAAACAATGCATTAACAAAAGAAGTTCGTTTTTCATTTAATAATGATCGTTTGCTGCTGGATCAACATTTTGGGTGTATGATCCAATTAAGATTAGAGCGAAGTTAACCTTAGGCGTTCAGTTAAATATAGGCTACAAACAATCGACGTATTTCCCGAAGGCCATTCAGCAGTTCTGGATTCCTATATTTTGCACGAGAGCTGTAGGTGGTGTCGTGTGAGTAGCCATATTCGGATCCACTAGAACTTACGCTACCAAAGTTGTCTGTTCCCTAGCACCCACGCTACCAAAGTTGTCTGTTCCCTAGCACCCACGCTACCAAAGTTGTCTGTTCCCTAGCACCCTCGCTACCAAAGTTGTCTGTTCCCTAGCACCCTCGCTACCAAAGTTGACTGTTCCCTAGCACCCACGCTACCAAAGTTGTCTGTCCCCTACCACCCACGCTACCAAAGTTGTCTGTCCCCTACCACCCACGCTACCAAAGTTGTCTGTTCCCATTATTGCTACCGTCTACTGCAGCTGGTGACAGAACGCATCCCCGAGCTGCTGTCGCAGTTCTCCGTGGAGAGCGTCGGGGTGGAGCAGATAGACGATGAGCTGCGGCAGTGCATCGACGCAGTCAAGAGGAGTCAAGGCAACCGGTGAGGTCGAATAGCTTGCTCAACAATCAGCAGTTATTATTTATATGTATATTCCCCTTTGAGCACAAACTTTTTTAATTAGCTGATAATTGATTGTAATAAAAGAATTGTTGATATTTTAATGTATAGATATATCATTGATAACTACAATTAAATTATCGTTCATCAAAGCGTCTTAAAAATGACGCCTGGCACATAAACAGCGCTTATTTTGAACATAGTTGTTGCAATCGAGATTAATTTCTTGGAGAATGAAAGCCAGACTCTTCGAATAAGAACTATATTAATACGGGATTTATAGTAATAAATCATGTGCAGATTTACAAATTTTCTGAAAATGTTCGAGTATCAGTATGAGTATCAGTATGAAATGTTCGAGTATGAAAATGAGTATCACAAACTCTACCTTTAACAAAAATATATATTAACGCTAGTGATATATAAAGAATTTTCCAGAAGTTTTTGTTATTCGTTTTTTACTCAACTTTACTGTTGTGACCCCGCATGATAGTTTTAACAAGTATCAATTGTTGGATTGACCGTCAATCCTGACTATTGAGTCACGATTGAAAAACCATTCGTTACCGTTTCCTTTTCGTATTAATTAATAATTACTGATTATATGAGGGCAGTTAATTGCTCTAATAAGTACCGGCTAAGTTGAATACAACAATAGAGATATATGCTATTTTTCTTGTTAGGCATCGGGCTAATTTTTTTTTTTGTACAATCAAAACTTTTCTATCTCTAGTAAGATATTGAGACAAAATCTATCCTGACACACCAGCTCCTTTGCTTGGTGTGTCAGCGAGGTTTGTATTGGATGTACTTTAATTATTTCGTCTCTGCGCTGCGCGGCGGTCGGAACTCGTTTTCTTGAGCGTTTGCACTTCCGTTTAAATAATAAAAGGCTCTAGGATATCAGAAACATCTATAATGGAGTTGGCCTTTTTGTAAAATTTTATAGTTCGTGCAAATTTTCTTCTTGTGGTGCAGATATATTGGATGGAGGTTCTACCACAGACAATTACTTAGGTCTTGCAGTGTATGCATAAGCACTACAGACATGAGAATTACAAAATATTTGCAAGTTGTTTTTGACACTTGATAGAAAAACGCATAAAGCACTTCAAGAGTTTTATAGAAGCTATTGTTTGGTTACCAACTTGCTAAATTTTAGCCGTTCTTTCGGTTTTAATATGCGTTTTTTGACAATTTCAATAGTACCAAATTTCATATCGTCTGACATAAATTTGTGATCATCTTGTTAGTGAGAGAATTCTCAGCGGATTCTAGAAAGAAGGAAATGCTTTTGTATTTTTTTAATGTGCGTTTTATTAGACAATTCGTGTGCAAACGATATGGCTAAACCAATTGTAGAAACGAATTTAAATTTTGTATTACTTGTTTGATGATGAAGCAGCGCAGCAATGTTTTCATGATTAGATTTAATTCTCGTGAATATATCTTTTCATCTATCCGATATTATATTACTTGGCATTTGACCACAAACAGACACATTCAGGAGCAAACGAGCATTGCAAAGTTAAGGGCACAAAAGCGGTTAAATAAAACTTATAAAGAAAACGTCGTAGCGATCATGACTCATTTGGATTGGATAAGGATAGTTATTTAAATTTCTAATTTTGTTTCAGTATGTCAAAAGCAAATTTTAATCCCCCGTAAGTTTCTTCAAGAGGAAAGAATGAAATTTCGTTTGAGTGGATAAAAATGTACTATAAATTGGCATAGATGGACAAATTTCTGAAGCTATTTTTAATTTTTCTGTGGATATTTGTTGTGAGGTGCACTGGCCGCTAGTTTGAAGTGTGAAAATTGTGGCACACGTTGTCTTTCCATCCGGGGACGTATGTGCTGGATACTCAGTTTATTCCGTCGGCGAGATGGACAAGTCCTTGAAACTAAGAAGACCTAGATTGGATAAGTGATTTTACAGGTTCATATACATAGCAAGCTGTACAAATCCAGTTATGCCCAGAATCGGCAACTGACCAAATTATGTTTATTAGATAAGTATTGGTTATATCAATATCTTCGTAGTCTCAGCGACCCCAGATCATTGAATGAGCATCTAAGGTTTGCTACTTTCATTTCAAGTTGAACCTTGCCTTTGCACTTGTTCTCCTGCCCGTTCGCGATGACAAAGATTTATTTGAGGTTTGAATCAAGGCTTTGTGAGTGCAAGAAGATTTGATTATTGATAACGGTAAGCCTTGGTCTACGATACACTTGATGCTTGGGGCTCCAAAATGCTGGTAGGAACTATAAAAATCGGCGAGTCGCTTATATACCCATGGCCACTAGATTTATTTTTATTCCATCGAGAAAGGTCTTGTCGCAGGACGTAAGCTTCGTTGTATGAGGCAGTTGTTAACTTGTTTATTAGGCCATTTACACCAAGGTGTGCATGTTCTGGCTTTGTCAGCCAAATATACGTGAGCTCGACAAACTTTTGGGCGTTGACCGGGATAGTATGGTTGGACTCCGCCATGTTGGCTGGTGCTGTTATTTGAAAACTGGGAGTTTGACTCCTGTTGGCTGTTGTGCCTGCGAGACGCGTTTTCTTGCTCTCCCGAAATGCTGATCCCGGGTTGTTTTCTTGCTAAACCCGGGTTACATGGAGCAGAGTACACAAATATTTCATCTGCAAGCCTCCCTAATTGTTCTAGGTTAAGGTCCCTTTGTGCTGCAACAACAGGCGCAATGCTTGACGGTAGCGCCTTCAGGAATTGGTGCCGAATAAAGTTAGTTCCAGCGTCAATTTCATTTCCGATGGTTATCATTTCTTGCAGGCATTGTGACGGCCGGCCTGATGCAGTTATCTTCATGAACTTCTCAATCATTTCAGCTTTGCTCTGCTCGTAGTTAGACATGAGTGTCGATTCAAGTTTCTTATACTAGATATAGTTAATATCTGACTAGGGTATTACGTATTAGTAGGTACAGAAAGTTCAGTTTACAATCCTGCCAGAGTGCTTGTGTTCTGTGCAAATTAATGTCATTTGTTCTGGTCTTTCATAGCAAGACTTTTCTCTTCACTATGAGAAAACATCCAAGTTTTGCCGCTTTTTGAGTTAATTATTTGAAAGACTTCCGTTATATGAACACAGGATTTTAACTTTGATCGCTTTTTCTTCTATTATTGCTTTCAAAGTTGTCAAGTCTCACGCACCCTCATAGTATTGAACTATCATGAGTTGTGTTCTATTCACTTCTTCGCTGTTCGTCTGGGTGCGAGGTTCTATCATGAGTATGAACAATATTGTGGGTCTTCAGCTTTATTTACAAATTTATACGGTGCTTGTTAGGTCACAAATATATTGCAATTTTCACTTGCATCTATTGTTCCTTATCAAATGTGTCAGCATTAGAAATACATTCTCCTTTCCATGCTCTTGAATAATTTAGGACAATAATAGATGAGATAATCTAATCAAATAAATACCTGAAATATTGAATACATCAGCCGTCAAAAATACATCTTGCAAATTTAATTTACTGTTATCGTACACTGAACTTTAATGTTTGATAAACTGAACATACACAAACACTGATTTAATGTTATCATACATACACAAACACAAACTTTCGGATCCTCTCATTATTTACCTACTGAATGCGATAGTTTGGTTTAATATAGCGGTATTTTAATTAAACTTGAGTTTAATTAAAATAAACTTGACTCAATCATGGATTAAAAACTTGACTCAATCATGGATAGAGTTAAATTCATCATTCAGTTTCAAAAACTGTACACTCAGCATTGCTTGATCCATCAATGCAAAATGGCGGCAATTTTACTCCCTAGGTTACGGCTAGGTAAACACTTTCACTGTTTTAAAAAGTAAACGAACATACAGTACAACGTTCAAATAAACTTATTTATTTCATATAGTGAATAATTATGTACGAACATAGTCGGTAAATTTACCAATATGCGGATAAAAATTTTAGATATCACTACTTAAGAAGCCAAAATGTCATACTAATCACTCAAGCCTCCGTACTCCACAGAGTCATAAGACAGCTGTCACATAAATGAACCATAGCAACAGCCATAAGGCTCGGTCGCCGCGTGGAAACATTGCCGATTTGCCGCCGGGAAACTCTAGATTGTGATTTAACCGAATATCTTTACATGTTGTTCCATTTGCTTTGTTCTATTTTCTTTTTATATACAAGGTTTGTTCATGATAAATACCATATTATATATCGGCATTTCTCCTGAAGATATCGTGATTATCAAGTTAATTTCGAGACCGACAGATATATTCGCAACAAGGTTACATTGAAATGTGGCCCATTAGAAGTTTTCTACGGAACAATGTTTTGTAAGAGACTGTCTGTGTAGACTATTCTCTTTCCCTGGGCAAAAAATTCGAGAAAATGCATAGTTTTATTGGGAAATGGGTTTGACAATCAATTACCATAACTAAGGAACACTTGAAATTATTGCAAATAGTTATTTCGACAAAGAACAGACCGCTCTATGCTTGCTTTAAAACATGCAGGTAAAAAGATGTACTCGTGTTTTCAAAATATGTAGATTTTTTTGAAACGTTTTAATTGTGCCCTTAGAAGTCGACCATTAAGCCGGAAAATTTTTTCGCTAAAAGTTCAGCCATTCAACAAATATTCGGACAATTGCCTTATGAAATAATAAGCATAAATACAAAAAAAAATACAAAATATTTGAATAACTACATCAATGTCTTTTGGACTGAAGCTCCTCGCCTTTAGTGATTTTTTTGCTTCTGTCGTAATCAGCAATACGTGAATGCTACCATGGTCACATTTTAAGTGTATAACGAACGTATTTTGGCTGTCTGCATGAATGACTCGTCACCACAGGTCGTCGCGGCCCCTGCGTTCAGTGGTCTACCACATGAAGATCTATTCGTCGTCAATGCAACTCATCCCAGTGCCTCTGCCGCCACGCACGCGTGTCAAGGAGCTTGCCGTCTCCACCACGCACGTCATCGTCCTCTCCGCCGGTGCCAAACTTGCCTAGAATTTAATTGCTGCATCCGCTAAACTAGTCATAAAATTACCGATTCAGAATGAAATAAGACATACATTGGTAAAGCAGTAGATATAACAAGTTGGCCCGATCTGTCATGTAACACATTTTATTTACCGATTTCATGAACAGCACAAATAAATCATTCACATGGTGACACAGAGGCAGCAATAGATAAATGGCCATTGCACAAGGAATTTCAGAACAGTAATTCCGTTAAAGACGCATGAATTTTTCCTCGTGGCTAATTTTAAGTAGATAATTTACTTTTCAAGTTATTTTGTGTTGTCTCTTCACTCCGTAAGCCATATTAGAATTGATTTTTATAATATATTTTCTCTGTAATTTGTTATTTTTCATGAACTAATGGTCGTCATTCAACAGTGTCATTGAAATTCTTCCTACTAAGTTACATGCAAAGCGTCGTGTTACGATAGGTTCGGTAGACTTTGATGCCAACCGAACTCTGGACGTGTTCTGAGGCTCTGACGTGTTCTGAGGCTCTGACGTGTACTGAGGCTCTGACGTGTACTGAGGCTCTGACGTGTACTGAGGCTCTGACGTGTACTGAGGCTCTGACGTGTACTGAGGCTCTGACGTGTACTGAGGCTCTGACGTGTCCCTGGTCCCTGTCGAGCAGAGTATTTGGTGTACACGTGGGGTGAGGGCAAGAGGGGACAGCTGGGGCACGGAGTGCTGGAGGCCTGGCGCGGGGTGCCTGCTGTCGTCGAGGCGCTCAGGGGCAAGACCATGACCAGAGTCGTCGCCGGCGACGGATTCTCTGTCAGTTCAGAGTGATATTATATATTATATTCCTGTATATTGTTGCGATTATATTTTTCTTATCTACATATTAATTCAATGATTTATTTGTGTCGTCTGGTTTGTGCTATTCTCGTTGTGAATTTCCTAAAAAAAATTCCTGAGCCGATATGTAGGCCTCGCAAATCAGTACCACAGTGTCGGGATGATGAAGTGTGCGTGCCACGCAGGTGTTCGCCTCCGACAACGGCATCATCATGACGTGCGGGGACGGCACTACAGGCTGCCTCGGCCACGACGACTGGAACTCTTCGGCCAAACCCAAACTTGTTGGTGAGCCAAAGATTCAATTGCACAACAAGTGCGTCTAAACAGGTCCTTAAGCCATGTTAATGTCAAGTAATGAGATCAGAAAGGCATGTCAGGTTTCGCTTAACACACAAATAACTCGGGTGGCGATTGTTGTCATATACGTACAACGATCTATTGACCAGGAAAAATTACCGCGATTGATTTTCGTCCTTGAAAAATAAATTCTCTGATTTACACTTATTCAAGAGAATACTGGAACGTCTTATTCTAGTGCTACTTTTGGCGTATTTTTCTCTACGATGACCGCCTCGTTGAACACATAACGATAATATACAAATATTAAATAAATTTTTGTGAAGATAGTACAACAAGTACTACTGAATCGAAGTGCTGAAATTGACAGTGATCGTGTAATAGCATGCTCAATAGCACTACTATGTAATTCGAAAATAAACTTCACAATCCTAGTCGGAGGACACAATGAAGAGATTAGTGGCTAATAAGAAGATATGAAATATTGTGTCTCGTACAGAAACATTTACTGGAGGGCCAATTAAAGGCCTGATACCGCGGATCCTTGTTATTGGCAGATAAATAGAGAATTCCACAGAAAATCGTTGCTGACGATAAGAGAATTAAGCGGTTATCTGTGGACACAATGAAAACTTTGCTGCGAATAATTGTTATCATGCAGAGAAGTTGTTATCGGTGGCCACAATGAAAGCTTTGCTGCTAATAATTGTTGTCAAGCATAGAAGCTGTTATCGGTGGACACAATGAAAACTTTGCTGTGAATAATTGTTGTCATGCAGAGAAGTTGTTATCGGTGGACACAATGAAAACTTTGCTGCGAATAATTGTTGTCATGCAGAGAAGCTGTTATCGATGGACACAATGAAAGCTTGGTTACGAATAATTGTTATCATGCAGAGAAGCTGTTATCAGTTGATGTGGCTGGACTGTCGTGCGGACAACAGCACGTCGTGGTCGTGGGATCAGAAGGCGACGTGTACTCCTGGGGCAAGGGGCAGAGCGGTCGTCTGGGACAAGGGAACGAGGAGGACTGGTTAGTGTTAGCCTTAGCAGCGAGCCGCAGGTACGATCCTGTCTGGTGTTTTTTTTTGCGGAAATTGTCAGTCACGGGTGATTTTTATTATTGTAATAAGGCTATGATGGCACATTACTGGCTGAAAATTTGATGCAATCGTTGGTGCAACTTTCCTGCGTTAGATAAATTATTAGATATATGATGTAATTAGTTTCTGTTAAACGCGAACACAGCCTGAAAAGATTACGATTAAGTTAAGTTGAAATTACATTACATTAAAATTTAATTCCATGTCCTGAATGTTTGATTTAGATTGAGAAAAATTGTGTGAATGTACTGATCTTGAGACAAAGTATCAAATGCAGTTAAAGATTTAGAAAAGAATAGAATAGAATAGAAGTGTCGGCGCTGAAGAAATAGGCCCATGGCCTGTTGCCGATTCTTGAACTTTTCGTGACGTGATTCACAAGGGATCCGGCCTTTGGAACCCGATCTTTCCATAGCTGACGATTGATTGAGATAGCTGCTGGACTTATTGCCTAGTCCGTAATTTGCTAGGCATTTTAAGACTGAACATATGCTCCTGCATAGCTTCGTCTAGTCTGTTTTTGAAGATGTTCTTACTCGGAGCGTCAACTATGCTATCAGGTAGACTGTTCCACATGTCGGTGACTCGAAGCGAGAATTTGTTCTGTTTTCATTCGACGTTGACAGACGATAGTGAATTAACACTTATGCTCTCCATTGCTGGTAACAAATGATTCAAATTATTGTGTACGGTCAGCCTGTAAACTTGGATAGCCAAGTTTACAAAATGCATGCACTGATGGAGCGCTTCCTGCACTCCCCCCACCTGCTCCACCAGCTGCGTGCCCCGGGAGGTGGAGGTGCCTGGTGACGCGGTCATGACGAACGTGCGCTGCGGCGGTGACGGCACCATCCTAATTAGCGACCAGGGGCTCATGTACGCCTGCGGCAACAACGCCCATAACAAACTCGGGCTTTCTGACGCTGGCGGACTCTTTAACATCAAACAAAAGGTGCCTTACTCTTAATATTCATCTGCATCGTGCGAGATGGGGTTCAATTGTTTTCACTCAGAATTAATCATAGTTAACAAAATAAGTCCATAACTAATTTATTTTTAACAAATATTAGTTCAAATACCATCCGGGGTCTTTATTTACTGATGTTTCGTCGTTTTTTTTTCATTGTGGACATGCTTTTCATGTACCTACCATATTCTTAAATGCGTGAATAAAGGTAGATTATTTAAATTCATATTTTAGCATTTTCTAGGTTATATTAAAAATGAACTTGAATAGAAATTAGATTATAAAACATCTTATTCTTATGCATTTCAAATGTAGTTTCTCTCTACTTGGCTCATTGTGAAAAAATTCGTTATATATTATCTTGCAGCATTGCTGAAGCATTATTGTGCTTTAACTTGCCTCTGTGTCCGCCTTTACACTTGCTAGGAGGATGGGTTATCTACTCCTTAAAGTGAAATTAATGTCAAAGGTTTGCTTGAGATTATCAGTGGCACCAATGGTGACCCCTTGATTTGGGAATTAGAGAGCAGGGAACGTAGGTAATACTTACGGAATAGGAGGACGAAATTCTCGCATATTTAGTGTGGAGCAAACTGGAGTTCCTGATGGTAGAATGTAAGGCGTATGAGAGAGCAAGACAAGCTATAAGTGATAATTATAGCGAGGGAGAGCGAGCCATGGCGCGCGGTATGCTCGAGTGCAAGTTATGAATGGATTGTAAATATTGTGGATTTTTTGGAGCAAGGAGCTTTTGCTTCGATTGTGCGAAAAATATTTCAAGTGGAGGCTGACAGATAAGAGGAAGATGACAAGAATAGACTCTTAATCATAGGTGAGAGAAAATGAGAAATTGATAAATGAACGCGAGGCACATCAAAAATGTTTACCCAAGGTCCTGTTTTAGAATGTATGTAAGTCCAATTTCACATTCTATTGCATCTTATTTTCTTGAGTCATAGTCAGAACTTATTTCGGCAATGCAATATTTTTTATATTTCTGAGGGAATTGTAAACTGTAGAGTTTGAATAAATGACTGAAAACTGCATGAGCGTCTGATGTCTGACCTCAGGTCTGCATGCCCGCAATTATAAGAATGAATGTAAGGCTATTTATAATCTCACGCAATACCCCGTTTTTCTGGTAGTGGCAATTGACCTCACACTGCTTTAGGTTATAAAATAGAATTTCATTTTCATTTTGATTCATGGTAAAGGATTTTTCCGTACTTTATTTATTTCATCAATCTAATCAGTGTTCATTATTTAACAAATTTTCATTATCTTGAACTATTTTGCTTCGTGAGCGTATTGCTCCTCATGTTTGCATGCTCACATTTTTCAATTTTTCATTTCATTTCATCTCTGAAGTTCAAATGTAAGGTGGCTCTTGTTATTAGCTAATCTAAATCTCCCTGCATGACTTCGGATAATTTTTATCCATGATCATCCAACACAAATCTACATAACCGCGTGCCTGGTCCCGCCGCAGAATGACATCAAGCAGGCCCTAGTGCCCACCAGAGTGCGCAGCATAGAGTGTCGCGTCGTGGACGTCTCCATGGGACCTTATCACACCGCCATTCTCAAGGAAACTGGCCAGGTAAACGTCAATGAACTTCCATCATCAACCATGTTCCATTTCTTGAGATAGGCATAACATGAAATAAACTTACCTGATGAGTGGATGATTTTCAGCTTCTTGATGAAGAGGTTCATTCATTGCCATTGTAAAATTAAATTTGAAAGAGTAATCGTAAATATTCGAAAGCTCTGTACGCGATTGATGATGAAATCTTTGCCATTAATCGTTTGAAATCAATTCGCCGCATCATGTAAAGCGAATTTACGAATGCACCTTCACTATCCACTGGGGTATCTGTGACCAGGTTTAGGTTAGCTCTAACCAGGTCCGTGTTAGCCATGACTTAGACTTTGGCAATTCTAGCTTGAACAGATGCTACTCTGTCTAGGACTTGGGTAACTCTAACTTAGACCGAGGTAACGCTGACCAGGACCGAAGAAACTTTGGCCTGGACTGAGGTAACTCTGACTAGGACTGGGATAACTCTGGCCAAGGCTGAAGTAACTTTGACTAGCATCAATTAAGGCGACTGAGGACTGCACCTGGGTTGATGGTCAATAATAAACATGCTGAAAACAATATCGTAGGTATTGACCAAGTTATGTATTGGTTCCGTAGGTGCTATTCGCCTTGGTGCCGTCCACTTGATGCCGCCTTGTTTCATTATTTCACCGCAGATTGTAACGTTCGGGCGTAACTGTGAGGGACAGCTGGGCCGCGGCAATTGTAAGCCCTGCACGCAGCCCGTGTTGGTGAAGAGTATGCAGGAGAAAGTCGTTACGGTCAGAACCTCATATGGATCGCCGCAATTACATTGCTTGACCATCTTTAAGTGTTATTGAGCTGAAATAATATGGTTAAGGAATAAATATTATATTTTGACTAGAAGCTTCCTGTTCATTCCCAAATCATGAATATGGTCAAATTGTGCGAGTTTTATTGAGATAAGAAAACTACTCAGATTAAATTGCGTTCTCTTGTCTAGACAAACTCATCAATACAGAAAAATTGAGATAACAATAACAGTTTATTGAGCTTACCAATTTAGGAGGAAACATCTTCTTAGTGAATTATATTGTAATATTTTCTAAATGCGGTATTACCTGCCTGCTGTATGTCAAGTTTTCAAATGAACTCTATCCCGTTTATTAGTAAATAAAAAATGAGGATATGTGATTTACACGAGGGTTGTAATTTCTTCCCTTAGAAGCTAAGGATTTCACTATGTTATCAGCGTCCCCCAAGACAAATGAATAGGCTAAATTAGCCAAACAGTGACACTTTTTATAGACGGATCACTGATAAGTCTTTTTACTACCACTAACTGGGTCTGGATGACCCACACCGAAGAAAAAATTGCATCGCTATTTGGAAAAGTTAAAATCATCGCTGAGCGCTTCAACATTTCTTAATTTCTCACGTTTGAATTAATGCAATCAATACCCGCCGTTACACATCAGGTTTTGCTTTATCTTCCTCTATAAATTGTTCCACCTCTATATCTTTCTCCTATCCACATACACGACATTACAATATATTTGTCTATGATTTTTGCAGATGATGCACTGTGGATCGACCTTCACTGTCGTAGGTACGCTCGAGAACGCCATATACTTGTGGGGCACCCGCGCCGTACTGCCCGCTTCACGACCCACCACGCAGGTCAGAGATGCCCATCGTGCCACTCACATTTAAGTTACCTCAGTCATTCTCGCAACGATAATATCTGTAACAAAATATCCTTTTTCCATCTTCAAGAGATATTTGAACCACAAAATCAAAGAAGTCATGCTACTCGTGTCTTCCACGCTGAAACAATTTTATGGCTGAAATTATTAAGGAAACATTTTTTCACAAACACCATCAAAAAATATCGCATAATTTTTATTAGCACCTTTAATATCGTGGCAGTCCGCAACTTAAAGTCATATTTAAGTTATTTTCTAATTACATATTATAATCTTAATGCGCTTCTACTCCCCAAGATATAATTTTCATATGAAAGTTTCCGTAAAAATGGAGATAAAATCTTAAAGTATGAAACTAAACGAAGATTCTGTGGACCGTCGTTCTTGTGTTAAATATCGTTGATGTTATGACAGGGCTGGAGTAAGTGGACATTTGATGGTGGTTTTGTGTACATCCCAGAGAGTTTTTTCCATTAAAAGTTATTATTCAAAGATTTTATCCTTTGAATACCCTGTTGTGAATCATTTAATAGCAATTTTCTTTCACACTACTTTTTTTTTAATTATACGGTTAAACCAATATATTCCTATGAAATATCTATTACCGAGGTCAAAAGCTTTGTGAGGAAATAATTATAAAGTTGTTAAAGTTACTAAAATTTGGCCTTCTTATAGTAGAATTTAAAGTGAGTGTCACACGCTTACTTTGGTTTGGTTACTTACTCTAACAAAAGGTTACGCGTAAGGCACTAAATCTTTTATCCTTGTTGCCCAATTTGTTTCCCTTTCCAAGAATCTTCTAATAATTTATATAAATCGCTAAATCAAACCACTAGGCCATCTATCACACAAAAAACTTTACTAATCCAACTTAGGAGGTTACTTTCCACCATCTCAGAAAGAACCGTATATCATTATATAGGACGGCTTACTGCATGCTTCGTCTGCAACATCAAAATCATCTTTGTTCCCTAATTAACAGCATAGTTGTTTTAAGTAATAGTTATCAGTACTTGCTTTAATTCTCGAATACAATACAAAAGTTTGTATCAACACAGGACGGCTTCATTATCATTCACCGTATCATTATATAGGACGGCTTACTGCATGCTTCGTTTGCGACATCAAAATCATCTTTGTTCCTTAATTAACAGCATAGTTGTTTCAAGTAATAGTTATCAGTACTTGATTTAATTCTGGAATACGATACAAAAGTTTGTATCAACACAGGACGGCTTCACCATGTCCTTGGGGCGACGACCGCCCTCAGACCTCAGCGCCAGGGATCCGGAATTCAGCTTCAGTGACTCCTCCAGGGTGAGACCACCCACCGCACAACCTTAACATTTTTACCGTTCGAAGTCCGAATTTTTTAACGAAGATGAAAGTTCGTAACGTAATTTCTCAGCAAGATGGCGACCGATAGAAATTTAATGTTATGTGTGACCATAAAGTCGTTAATAATAAGGCAATTCGGGCTTCATGACTGATAAATGACAGAAAACCAAAAGTTTGCTTTTCAATTTACTGCTTGAGATTCTTTAACAGATATTTTATCTCAAGCATGACTCAATTATTAGGAGCTTAATACATGCCCGAATTTTTTCCACAAATTACGAAAAAAGAATTAAATGTCTCGAAATCTTTAGACATCCTCGATTACTCATTATTTAGAATGTATAGTATTTTAATGATGGATAGCCTGCGTGAACATTTTCTAATGGTATTTGAGAATATCAAGGCTCACATAAATCCATCCATCTAAATGTTATGTATTGCTTCTCAATCGTCAGCTTTACAGTATGAAAATTCTGAATAAAACCCATTATCGTGCATGTGATTTATGATAACAAGGATTTTATGATACGGCTCTTATAGACTATAGCAGAGAAAAGAAGTACATGTCCGCTCAGTGTCTGTAGATTCAATGCTCAAGTGATGTCTGGAACATTGCGTTGCAGTTCCAACTTTGCCCACAAAAAAACTTTGAAGACCGAAAAGCTCCCCATTTTAAATAAATGCACCAGAAACCGAAATATAAATGTTATGAAGAAACTGCGTCAACTATGTCCGTACCTGTAAGACCTCGACTATCCGACTGAAGACAGTGAGATAGTTCATGCATGGGTACGCATCAACTCAGTCTACGGGGTTTAATGCGGACATTTATAATAATAATAATAATAATAGCGGTTTCAGCGTTAATTAGGCCGTAGGCCTGTCGCCGATTCTTAACATCGCAGAACATTCACAGCATTTTGCGGTCTCGAACTCGCAACTCACTGCTCAAATTCTGCTGTGCTTAACCGCCCGGCTTCCTCGCCGATTCTGACCAGAAACTGGCGCACAGAGCTGGGATCGAACCCGCGTCTCTCTGCTTCCATCTTGGTACTCTGAACTTTAACCACTGGGCCACCCTGGGCCCAAATATCTATTAACGAGTACATCAGATTGAGTTTGTTTCAACTACCATTAAGGGTCAGACATTCATAGTCTCGTATGCATTTGGGAAATGCGATTAAATTCATTACATTTTCACCATCACTTTTTTTATGGTTAACATAAAAAAAAGTTTTCGAGTTGATTACTCAAATCGACATTATCTTATAAATTATAATGAAGGAATAAAAAATTTAATTTTGAGGCTTTTTTACTTGTCCCACAGAGAGGCAGTCTTTCGACCCCAGCCAGCGCGAACAGCGACTCGTCGCGACGTACAGCGGCTGAGAACGACAGAGACCTCAAACTGAAGGACGTGTTGCTGCAGCCCCAGGAGATCCTGGCGTAAGTACTCCACACGACCAACGTACCAATCTGTGTAGTGATTAATACAGACTCAGGAAACACTGCCGTGAGTGTTCTATTCGACCTACACACTAAATCTGGGCGGAGGCTGGTACGTTTATCTTAATTTAGTGTGAATTTAAGATAACGAGCAACGAAGAAATATTTTCAGCCCATAAAAAAAATTTTCAACATATTTGTTGATGAGAACTGACTTTCTGTAAACTGTATTATACTTGCGGCAGAATGCCGCTTCGGAATGTACATATTTGTTAACATTGTGGAGATACGCTTCTAGCATGACTACATCTGTACGAGTATTTAACCTGGATTAAATATCCAACCAATCTTCCTTCTTAATTACTTGTTCATGCGTATGGTACTTATATTTGGTCCTAACCTTATCTTTAGAAATTCAAGTTCTATGTACACTATTGGGCTGGTGCACTGCAGTGACGCGACATACGTAAAATTCCTTCTACGTAAGCTCACGCTGTCCTCGCTCGTGTGGACTAAAGCTTCTGAAGCTATCTGAGTGGGCAGTTTTAGTTTTGTAAAATTCCGCGCTGTAAACAAAGCTATACTCAACCTCCAGAATTACCTGGCCGAGTTTACCGAATAAAAGCTTTTCTTCATTTACCCAGGCCATTCTCCTTGATTCACACGCATAATACAACGATTACTTGAAATACGATGTTTTACGAAGTGTTGTTGCAGATTGTACGCATCGCCCGCGCAGGTCGCTAAGGGGGAGACCGTCAACTTGGCCTCTCTGAATTGCCAGAACCAGAGCGTCTTCGTGGTGGTTGACACCACGGCGCCTCTACCCAAGCACTTGAGGTATGCCAGTATTTGCCGGGCACAAATACGCAAGCATTTTTTATGTATCTTATTGTCGGTCACAGGTTTATTTCATTATAGTTTCAAATAATGTTTAACTCTAGAAATACATCTTCACATATTACATAATCAGGAGAAACTAAAATCGAAAATCAGACTACTTCAAAAGAATCGCTTCACATAGTTCTCATTGTTTGTGTTTTAGGATTTAATAGTGTATGTATCGACGTATGCGTCTTTATTCATTATTGACCGCCGTAAAATCCCATTTGATCATTTCGATTTTAGATACGGCGGCAAGACTGCCGCCATACGTCTAACACAGTCCCCAGTAGCCTGAGAATACAATACAAATCTCAGTCGTTAGGTGACAAGACTACAATAAATTTAGCAAAGTCTCCCTAGTATCAAGTGAATGAAACACAGATATAAGTCACGTGGCGACACGACTACAATAAATCTAAGTGTCCCCAGTAGCGTGTGAATGCAACCCAGATCTAAGTCACGCGGCGACAAGACTACAATAAATCTAAGTGTCCCCAGTAGCGTGTGAATGCAACCCAGATCACAGTCGCTGGGCGGGTCGGGCAAGACGACAGCTCAACAGCCCAAAGAAGAAGACAAGCCGCCGTCTCTGGAGGCCGTCAATAGAAGACCTGCGCCGCCCCCTGACCAAGAGATGGACTCCATGGGACCGGTGAGCGCAGGCATGGGAGGCAGCGCAAGCCATTTGTGATTAGTCTTAATTACTCAAGATTTTGTTTTCTTAACTAATGAATGCACTCATAATTACTCAAGTGTCTGTTTGCAAGATAAAACTTTGTCATTTTATACATTACATGTATTTCGAACACTGAAGACTCTATTGTTTTACAATAACTTGAAGATTAATTGGCGGAAGGGAGACAAAAAGTATATATGTAGATTAGCGGAATACAATAAGTGCGATAGAGAGCAGATTAGTACTAAAACTGGTCATAGATATTTTAGCGGGACTTGATTCCAAGCATATATTTTTCAACGGAAAATAGTGGGATTTACAGTCGGTGTTCATTCCAAGAAATATCTGATACAGCCGAGTTTTAGAGGACAAAATGCTTATTGAACAGAATATAACCTTTATATTATATGAAACACTAAATGGCGTCGTAATATTAATTCACAGTTCATCACAATACCGCTGCGATGAAAATCATGTTATAAGACCACAAAGCTGTAGGGACGATACGCGGTTGAGTTCAATCCGCACTGAACGTCCCTGGTCACGGACCGGCAACACTAGAAAAAATGCTGCAAATTTTTTCTTCCAGTACCCAGCTCTTAAAACAGACATCATCGTTGCAGTAAGATTAAATAATTTACGGGTCAAAAAATTTTTATATTATAGTTAATTATCTCTGCAACCCTGTGTATACAATATATATATATTGATTTGTATGATGGCTTCAGGTGCCGGCGTGGCTGAGCGCTGAACTGAACGAAGCTGGCATCGCTTGGAGCGGTTCCAAGCCTGAGACGAAGCCTGTCAACCAACGCCCTCTGACATCGCAGTCACTGCCGTCCTACACCCAGCGGCGCTAGGCTACCACCATCTCCTCCATTGTCTTTGATGTGTCAGGAATATATATATTTTGTGAGATGCTTGATGTGTTGCTTGCATAACAGGCCATGGATAAAAAAAATTGTAGGTACATAAATACACTTAGAACTTCTCAGGTATGACGCGTGAATACAATGAGCTCTTATTTTTACTAGTGATCTGTTTTTTATTAAAGAAATATGGAGGCTAGAAAAATATTCTCAATAGGAAGTGTTTTTTGAAAGATTGAATTTCTTGATTTCCATGGCACAAAAAATGACTGGGAATACCTGTAAACAATCCCTAGTGACATCTACCTCCGAGTCGAGAATAAAGTAGAAATTGTTCTCCAACAAAACCTTCAGTATTCATATTAGCTTACACACGATGCGCAGAACTCTATTATCAATTAGTAAATCATGAAGAAGCCTAACAGCACGAGCCACTTCATGATGATAGCTTCAAGTGCGTGGCCATTTAAATATATTAATAGATTCAGAGTTTCAGGGCAACCTTCTGCGTGTTAACTTAATGGGACCAATTTATGTCACACCGGCGGAGGCTCCTCTTGTGTAATAAAATTGTTGACATCTCCTCTACGGCAGCAGAGAAGTATACAATCGAAATTATTCATAATTCATAAAGAATGGTGATTTATTTCTTTGTCCAATGTAGAGGGCGCCAGCGAATTTAGTGTATCACCTGTCAACGTCGCACTCATCAGTGCTCTCTAGTGATGTAATTTGTCGACACAACATTGTGAGTTGGTTTAATTACATAGCATCGCGATAGATAATTAAGATATATTTGCTGTACATAAAATCTAGGGGATATTAGAAGTAATAAATTCTACTTAAAGATACTGAATATGAATTATCTTGGGACGTAAAATACTACGGAGTCTGCAATTTATTATTTTATTTATTACCTCAAGATCAAACGCTAAAGTTTGAATGGCGAGGCCCGAAAAAAATACAAGTAATGTTTTCACTGCCCAAGAAGACCTTCTTTGAGCATGAATAGATATGGCTAGGCGCATACTATTCTATTTACACTACCTGAAACGGGGATAAATAAATAAATTAGGAAATAATATTCATAGTGTAATACAAAATATTTTATTCCTTTTTGTAGATACTCTTTTATAATTATAACGCCTTTTAAGAATAGGAGGATTTTGTACTATGCGTTCCATAAGGTCAAAGCAGCGCCATGTGTCGCGCTGTAGACGAACGTCACCCATCTTTGAATGCCCACGTCAGCCTTCAGTCCATGAGTTCTTCTTCAGGGCAACACTGCAGGCAGAAGACATTCATTACCAAACGCCTAAACAATACTAGGCTCCTTATGATAACTGAGGCGCCCGCTACGTTTTTCATTACCAAGCGCAGTACAGCTAGAGAGGCTCATGCTAAAGAGCAAATTCAGCAAAATTCGTGAAATATGTAACAGAATGTCGTTAAATACCTACTAAACGCAGATTGTATACCACGCAATGTGCATAAAATCTGCCTCTTCGATCTTTTATGGACAACTTTTGAATATTCAACACACGAATACAGTACACGAGTGAGCACGCAACACTTCCAGAACAGGGCAGCAGTGAGCACAGTTATTTGATTTGATAGATAAACGTCACAACCACGCAACCGAAGACATTCATCCCAAAATTCATCTGAGAACGCAAAATACGTAACATTATTGTGCTGGCAATAACATTTACAATGTCTACATGTCAGGGCAGCTACGATAAGCCCATGGCAATCGTGGGCCGTCAAAGCCATAAGTTTCCACCGAAGATACTCACGAAAAACTCGACGAAGGCAATTTCGTTGCCCTCCGCTTTGATCATGAACTGCAGACACATGAAGCCGCGCTCGTCAACGCGCAGTGACACCTTCTGAGCCGCCGCCAGGGCCTGCACAGGGTGGAGACCTTGAGTGCGCATGTAACTGAACTAATCTTGTGCAAGAATGGATAGAAGAAATGTTTACAATGAAACTATGACGTAAAAAATATCTCATATACTAAACTCGAATACATCTATGAAAACTGGAGGACAATGGTCATCATAAGAGCAAATAGAGGAAAAGAGCCTTGAGAAAAAACTAGGTAGTTGTTCGTGAGGCATATAATTATACTGTGCAGTGAAATTGACATAGCTTGAAGTAGAAAGGATGTCTCACAAGCAGGAAATAGAAGGAAGAATAAATGTACAAGAAGATAAATCAGTGTATAAATGGTAGGGCACCTTGAAGGTGGTGTGCAGGAGGGACATCCTGTAGGAGTGCGACGTCGCACTGGAACACTTGAACGTTTCGATCATCTCGCTGTCACCCGGGATGTCTGTCTGTAACCATAAAAACATTCACTGAAACTAAACGGCCGAAGAGAATTATATGCATAATACATACAGTGGATATTGCCAAAGCACCATATCGTGTTAGGAAAAACAGAACAGCAGGTCTTGTAAAAGAGATAAAATTTAACTCAAAATAAGTTCCCTTCATGATTGCATATAAAAAATATAAAATTTAAATGAATCAGTAACAAAAGCTATCAAGAGTGTACATCATTAGTCTTCTGATGGCTGGAAACAATGTCAAACAATGTTCTGCATTTGGATAATTAAGTTTCTTCTGATCTTGAAATTTATTCCAGTAACAGGCGCAAAGGCAAGGCAACACTGGTACTACCACCTGATGATATAGTTTCAAGCTTTTAGAATTTCTTAGGCCTTAAGTTTAATTACGCTTATTTTGATGCATAAGTTTTCCCAGCCTATGTAAACAGTTACTGAGGTTGTACTGTTTTAAGTCATAAATTACGAGGAAGTCTGAGGGAGTGACTTATTCTTATTAGTATGTAAGCAGTAATAATTTGCTTAATCACCAAATCAAACTCAAAGCAAAATGACAAATGAATGAACAGGCTCAGGAACGCACAGGCACAAGCATGGTACGGAAGCGAGAGGGTTATGAAATGATGCTTACAGAATTGTTTGTGGTAAAATTCGCAGAGTTGCCCATGGCGCTGAAACTTCTATACTACAGAACATGCTATGAAAGGAATTTAAAGTGTACTTGTGTCTTAATAAGTTGCACCTTTAATGAGCGCCACTTCAGATGCCCAACTTCTTAGGAAACCCTGTCAATTCAAGATTCAAAAAGTGACTATTAAGAAGGTTCCGATTCTAGTGGTTGGAATACGGGTTTTAATTCATGCTCCAATTAGAAGGTTGGCTCGGCAGCTCTGTTCAAGCGAAAATGTATATACTATAGTACGTTCACTGTGAATGATCCAGGCACAGCGCTTTCCGTGAATACATTCAACACGCGGAGGCGACGGCGCTCTAGTGTCAAAATGTAAGCAAAATGTCAGGAGTCTGAGGTTGGCGGGTGAGGTGGTGATGTGGCAGGTGGTGATGCGGGAACAGGCTGCTCACCTGTACCACACCGTAGTTGCCAGAGGTGGAAAGTCTGAGGTTGGCGGGTGAGGTGGTGATGTGGAAGCTCAGGAAAGCACTCGACTGGTCGAGCTCAGAAAAAACTTCCCTCAGGCACTCGCTGCGCATGATCAGCTTGTTCACCACACCTTTACAATTGGAGAAATAAGCCCGTAAATTGTCAGATCTAATGTAGCCATCATACCGTCAAATCAGCGAAATGGCGAGCAAGTTTTATTCAAATTGAAGAACAGTTCATTGCACTGTAATTAACTCCATTAGGTTATGCTGGAAGTGTTGCCTCTTTAAACGCGCTTACAAGGCAGCATATTTTTTCTCGGCCACTCTCTACAATGTAATTAATTTCAATGCAATCATACATGGCATTAAAAAATCTGCTCTTTCAATTGAAAACAAGATACGTATTTTGTATCCAAGGTAGTTTAGCGAAATATGCACTACCGGGCAAAAACACGGGATATTTTAATGGAAGATAGTACAAATTAAATACTAAAGTCACTAGTGTGATTAAGAACGTAAAATTACACTAATTGAATCAGTAGGCCAGATTCATAATGACTGAATTAGCCAGTATTTGCTGATGAAAAATACAGCAATGATGACTTAACATCGGAAAACTTCCACTGAGCAACAAGCCTCCTCTTGAAACTTCATTTTCTATACTCAAGTCCACGTCTGCCCCAGCTTTAGCTGCAATCTGTCCTCCGCAAGAACTAGAATAACTTATCGCATCTCAGTACAAAATCTAAGTGCAGATAATATCAAAGTTGTACCTTCGAAACACATCAACAGACAGACAAACCTAAGCAACACAAGCCCTTCCAACTACGACCTTTACAAGATGGAATATCAAGTCCAAAATTTCTTAAGTAAGATACGATTACATTGAAGAATGACAAGGACTGCATGAACACCAGAAATTTCTAGCTCACGATCGCTGCTGAAGTTGAAGTCCAGAGACTCGCAGGCATCGCGTGTGACGATCTTACAGTCGGTGACGGCACCACCCTCCTCCAGCCTGATAAGGAGGCTCTGTCACAACAACTCCTGCAGCCTGACAACTGACAAGGTTTAACGTACATATATTCACAATAGATGGTTTATGACTGGTATGGACCTAACATAAGAAGACTCACAATAGCACGAGTGGCGAGCCATGGCCATTGTACATAAGCTTGAGAGCTGCCGACATGCCGGGACTCGAGCGCGAACCAAAGATGCTCAGGCACTCAACAAGCACCCACAAGTTGATCTTGAAAGTCAGTACCTCTTCCTTTATGTGGTAGTCCTGCACAATGAAAACTAATTGAAGAAATTTTTTAAAGTTTCAATACCAATACCTATACTTTTTGAAAACCAATGAATTGAACTTCTTCCATTGAAAGTTCTTGTTGTAGGAGGTGCAACTATTATTATATACTTATCACAAATTTATCCTAGTGAAGTCTGGTAGTAACTAAATAGGCACTATGATTACTGTAAATCATGATTTACTGTAAAAATGAGTAAATGCCTTCTCTCACTTTTATTTTATGATAAAAAGCTCATGGTATCTACATACTCGTGAAGTTTTGCAATCAATTGCTTCATCAAGTGAGATGCATAGAGACTGATGTTACATGACATCACTGCGCTTGAGAATGTCGCAGAGCTTTTAGTATCCAAGAATCATTAAGTTAACATATTAGGGTGGTTCTAAATGTTTTAAACTTCCTTCTTCAAATATCTTCATTCAAATATCAACTTCTTGAAGCATCAGGAATGAATATATTAATCATTCCCTCTTAATATATACCTTTAAAGACCTAAGATACTGTTTGATAGTTAAAGAATTTAGCTGTCTTAAATGATTCACGGAAGAAAGAAAGCTTCAACACTAGATGTACATAACATATTCACCTGAAAGAACTCGGCCTGAATGAATGCATTTGCTTGTAGTGTCTTGCCCTCCTCAACCGTCACCTTGAGACCATTGGCACTGGCACACACAGTTGCAGTCTGTAGGTTTACAGCCATTAGACATAGTTCTCACAAACATAAGAGAGGCTTATAGTAATGAATAAAATGTGAAGAAATAAATCATTGTTCCTGTCCAAATTGCTCATCAAAATTGTTGATGATCATTTAACCAAGAACTCTGACTTGATCAACCATTGGCAACAGATATGTTAACAACTACCTACCTATTCAGGGTTCAACTTCTATGATTATAAAAACGGAAATTGTCCTGGGATTATGGATCCAGGACAATTCTTGCGATTTAATGCCTTCCCTCACTTTTATTTACTAATCCTACTTGCAATTCAAGCAAACAAGTGATTTTAATAGAAATTTTCCTTGGTAATGTGAAGTTTATGAAAAAACATAGAGAAGGAAACTAAATGGGAAGAGAAGTGTGCTTCTTGGCACACTTTTCTAATATAAGATAGGAAAAATCAATCTTTATGGTTTTATTTCTAATTGAATATCAAAACCTAAGCTAAGAAAAATTATAAGATAATATTACAATTACAAATTACAAGATGAATTAAAATAAAAAAATGTCAATAATAACTTATTCAAATTATAAACTAATGCATTTAAAAAACTACAAAAAATAAACAAATTATTATAATGGTGGAAATTGAAGATTTCTCTAAAAACTAATTTCTAAATCACTAACTAAAAGATGACATTTACAACTGAATAAGGCTTCCCAAAGCACAGGTCACCTTATACTAATACCACAATTAAATCACAAAATCACTTACACTTGAGTTGAATTAGAAGGTAAAATATTGTAACATAAACTTGTATAATAGCTCATCAATGTAAGCAACAGTATTGATGACATGACTCTTACCTCCCTGAAACTTATGGTTTTCAATAGATGCAGGACAATATTGGCATTGTCAATTTTGGCAACCAATTGGAGATCACTTCCATCTTCCTTTTGGTAAGACAGTGCCATGGTGCTACTGAAATGAATTGTATATGATGATGAGAGATGCAAAACTGGAAAGAAAAAAATAAAAGGACAATTGGCTTTGAAGAATAACAATAGTTACACAGTTTTACATTAGCTCAAGTAATTTAAAAATCCAGTGTTAATAAACTAAAAATTAAGGGTTTCATGCCATGAAAGTGTTTAAATTTGTAGTGCCAAACCCAGAATAAAGTATATAGTCAGATGGGGTAAGACAGGACCAAAATCACAAACAAGCCTGTAGCATCTATATCATGAATAACTAAGAAACCCTAAACCTATCACAAGGTGTAGTTATGCAATGGGCTTCTAAGCTACAACTCAGACTTTTTGCATGCAACTTAGTTTTCAGTACATATTAAAAAAAGTGAGCTGGTCCCATCTTTTGGGGTAAGATGGGACCAGGCTGGGGTAAGAAAGGACCGACTGACAATTCTTATGTTACAAGGTTTTTAATAAAAGTACAAATCTGATATTCAATATTATTCATCTAGAAACACATTATTTGATTAAACAACCACTTGTTACTGTTTTGTGTTGAGGGAAGTCAACTCTAATATCAGTCACATTGAAGTTTTTGTCACGAGAAAACTTTGTTAAGCATAGTAATAGTGGGTTGGCTTTGGTTCATTGTAGAGCACTGTCAAATGCTACATGTATATTCCATTAGTGTCATTGTCTGAAAAATGTATCAAATTGGTAATAAAAGAAATGGATAATAATTTAAATATCAGACATCATGTGTTTTCTTGCTAACTTCATGTTTCACACAGTGATTTTTCCCCCAGCCACTCTTGCACATACCGTCAACCGGAGCTATTCGGGACAGATTTGATCGTTTTTTTTAATAACTGTTAATAACTTCTTATGACGAAACATTTCATAAACAAATTTAGGCTCATTTTATAGCTCTTTGCGAGGGCTATCAAATGGCATTGTTAAAAAAATTCCATATGCTATTCATAAGGTGCCTGACGCAAAATAAAGATTGTCCCGAGTAGCCCTGTCAGTCGGGGCTACTCGGGACAATGGGAATAAAACTTCATTTTAAAACATTTGAAGCATGCAGAGCGTACTCATCCATTACTAACACTAACAGTACTCTGAAGTCCTCCTCTTTCATTGTAGATGATGTAGAGGTAGAATAAATGACATTTTCTGTGATTTTTACTTGTTTTTCTTTTATTGATATGATATTGCCATATACATTAATTACCGTATTATTGATGTGCATTTATCGTATTATTGATGCGATATTACCGTATCCATGAACATGCCATTGAGCATTTACAACAACCTTGTCCACTGCAAGCTTCATATCAGCAGTCTTATAGCATTTTTTTCGTATCTGTAAGCTTACAGGACGGCTCGTAATTTCACATCATTTTAATTGGGTTAAGTGAATTTACTATAGTAAAAAAGATCGTGAAAAACATACCTGAAACAGAAAGGAATGTTTCAGTGACAACCAACGTATCTTTTGGAGAAATAAATCATAGTTTAGGTCAATTACTTTTTATTCTATGATGCCTGGTGCACAATTCTATACATGACATGCTATGCACAATTTTGTGATGACCGATGATGCACTAATTTTTTGATAAGTGAAATTTTTTCGCTGAGCAAGGAAAATGTGATCAATATTCTTTGTTTTTAATCAATTTTTTTCGTAATTGGAGCCCTTGCTAACTAATGTTCTACCGTAAATGCGTTTTTGGGGGTGTCCCGAGTAGCCCCACTGTGCGGAAATGGCTGCCATTTCTTTTTGGAATGAGATAGGCAAATTCTGTCAATTACGTTTTCAAGCCAACACCTGGGTGCAACTTTTACGTAAGTAACATTTTTTAATACGGCAAATATTTTTTTTGCTACAAACCTTAGCAGTTGTAACTTTACAAAATATAGTTTTTCACCATTTTTTCAGGAATTTTTCAAAGCAAGTAAATGTAGTATTTTTTGACTTCCTTTATACTACATAGATAGGAAAAATGTTGACGTTTATGCCACTATTTTTAGTTTTGCAATATTCCAATTAGTTTTGCTACTACAACAGTTTTACGCCGTGTCGGAGGCCTGTCCCGAGTGGCCCCGCTTGTCCTGAGTAGCCCCGGTTGATGGTAGTTCTGCAGCTCACTAATGGGAATAGACATCCCTATTTTCTATATCCCTTTGATGCAATTTAAAATAGTGCACTAAATTTCTCTAATTAAAAAAGCTAACAAGTTATAATGAAGTTTTAGCAAAAGATAAAAATTTTGACCAAAATACTCCATGTACTACACAATAATATATTCATTTAAAAACTATTTTTGATAAACTGTAGGGTGATAGAAGACCATTTGTGGGGTAAGACAGGACCATTTCCATTTGTAGGGTAAGATAGGACCATTTGTGGGGTAAAACAGGATCATTTAGTGGTCCCGTCTTACCCCATGTCCGGTCCTTTTTTACCCCATTTTAGAATACATGTCAAGCAGTGATGGTAGCAGGTAGGAATGCCCAATATGTCTAAAAAGTTGCCTATTGCTTGAGGTTACCTGCCTACATCCACAAACCTGGCCAAAAAATTTTTTGTCATTAGACAGCGCTTATTTCCCAAACAGGGTTAACTATTTTGTGACCCTTCTTTACATAGGTTTTCTCTAAAAATTAGCCAGAAATTCATTATTTGCAGAAGAGGGTTGCCACAAACACTGAAATGACAGGCAATGATTGTTCTAACATATTCTTTGGTCAAATTGAATTCAGTGCAATTAGAATGCATGCCATGGGCTGGTCCTTTCTTACCCCATGAAGGCTGCGATCCTGTCTTACCCCATTTGACCATACTGTCAATGTCAACAACACACAAGTATAAGTTGCTACTCAGCCATCATGGCTACTCATACACAGGTCCTGTATTATTAACAGGCTGGAATTTTAGAGGGGTATTGAATTAACAAGAATACAGCATTTTAGACATAACCAATCACAGAATAGTGAGGATGACATCACAATCCCACAAGCCATAACCAATCACAGAATAGAGAGGATGACATCACAATCCCACAACCAATCACAGTTGGATATGGACATGCATCCACCCTTAAATGACAAGCTATATGCACTATCTTAGAATTACAGCTTGCAGCTACCTACTGCAATCAACTTGCTACTATATACCATAATACAAACCCTAAATATTTGATATAGTAAATATATTTACTGTTCAAATTTCCAATCTGAAGGGTTTAATTAGTACATAATACCTATGAATATTTTATGATCAAGCTAGTAAAGTTTACTTAGTAAAATAGATCAATTCTTTCAAAGGCTGGCAACACAAGTAGGTATTGTAGCAAAGTTAGCATTGGTGGTATTGATGGTAGGTGTTAAATCTTGAATTACTTGAGGATCTACATCTACCCAACCTTAGTTTGCAATTCTGGTGTTTGCAACAAGTTAAACTTTTCTGCTTGATCTGATTCCCAAAGATTTTGAGGATACAAAGGATAAAAAAACAATTTATATTAATTATATCCTTTATTTTACTAAAATCTTCAAGCTACCTAGAAGTTGACCATTAAATTAATTATCGTCACTTTTAGTGTTAAATTTTTTACATTGTAAAAATCTATTTTGATTAAAAAGAAGAGGATATAATATAAAAAGAATATATATATATTCTATATATTTATATATATATATATGCAAGTTTGATTGAAGACCAGAGCATGCTTTTTATTAACAGTCTTCTTGTTCGTTTTTTCAATGAGTCGAACCAAATTTTCAACCAAATGAGACCATCACCCGAGCGACATTGGAGGCCTGCACCAGCATAGTTATGCGGTGCCCCAACCCATCGAGACTGATGATAGCTGAGGCTCTCATTATCAAGAACGAGTCTCCAGCTATCAACCTCCAAACTACAGGATTCGTCCGGACGCTGAAATTATTTTCAGAGTAATTTTAAGTTTAAACATTTTGTTGTATCCACATTATTTATTATTGTATACACTATACCAATCATATGTACTTCTGTCATTTCCAAATTGAATTTCAAGTGTTGTAAAACCTTCACCAGCTTGATAATGAAAATTGTATTTCGAAATGTCGCAAACTATTAAAATGTCATTCGGAAACCTGCTTTTCGATCTCCCGACGCCAGCAAGAAATTTGGTTCGACTCGTTGAAAAAACGAACAAGAAGATTGTTAATAAAAAGCATGCTCTGGTCTTCAATCAAACTTGCATAAAAGAGAAGCTTCTGCCTAACTACACCAATATATATATATGTATATTGGTGTAGTTAGGCAGAAGTTCTTCATTTATACAGGTTTGATTGAAGACCAGAGCGTACTTTTTATTAACAATTTTCTTATTGTTTTTTTCAATAAGCCGAACGAAATTTCTAGCAGGTGCTTGGAGATCAAAAAGCAGATTACCGAATGACATTTTACTGGAATGCGACGTTTTGAATATATCAATATTCATTATCAAGCAAGTGAACAGTTATAACAATATTTACAATATACAATAATAATTTGATTTTCGATTTTGAACCGTATCTACGATACTTACTGTACGAACTTATGTCATGTCCAAATTGTTATAACTGTTCACTTGCTTGATAATGAATATTGATATATTCGAAACGTCGCATTCCAGTAAAATGTCATTCGGTAATCTGCTTTTTGATCTCCAAGCACCTGCTAGAAATTTCGTTCGGCTTATTGAAAAAAACAATAAGAAAATTGTTAATAAAAAGTACGCTCTGGTCTTCAATCAAACCTGTATAAATATATGTATATATATATATAAAGAAGATTGGACTAACAATCTAGACACCAAGCCGCTGTCTCGTTAGCTACCTTCAAACTGGAGGGCAGGTGAACAACGCAAGACAAGCTTACAACCAGACCGTCACTCGCATTGTGCTGAACGTACTCATCAGCATCGTGATCATGCAGTGGCCCGACAACAACCGGCCGACAATAGCTGAACCCCTCATCTCTACAGATTGGACTCCAGCTATCTATTTTCTGACTACCGGATTTGTCTGAACTCTGAAAGAATTTTCCGAGTCATTTTTGGTCCAAAATTTTACTGTTGTATCCTATTTACTTATATTATGTACTTATTTCCACCAAAATTTCAATGTTTAATGCTTCTTCTAACTTAAAAATGAATGTTTGTTGCATTCGAAATGTTGTTAATAAAGAAAAACTACTCCCTGAAACTTGCCTTTTCATCTACCAT